GTTAAATTTCCCTGACTGGAGTGAACAAGTCCAATTTCACTTAGGTGTGTTGGATCTTGATTTGACTTTCCAAGTTGAAAAACCGGCTGCTATCACTGATGCTAGTAGTAATGAAGACAAAACTCATTATAGAGCTTGGGAAAGATCAAACAGACTTAGCCTTATGTTTATGTGAATGAGTGTAGCAATCAATATTAAGTCTGTTCTTCCCAAAACTGAGGATGCGAAAGAGTTTATGAAATTTGTGAAAGAGCGCTCTCAAACTGCTGATAAATCCATCGCTGGGACATTGATGAGTACGTTGATCACCATGAAGTTTGATGATTCTCGTAGTATGCATAAACACGTAATCGAAATGACAAATATCACAGCAAGACTCAAGTCTCTTGGAATGGCAGTGGAAGAAAATTTTCTTGTGCAATTCATTTTGAACTCGTTACCGCCTGAGTATGGTTCATTTCAGATGAACTATAACACCATGAAAGACAAATGGAATGTGCATGAATTGCACAGTATGTTAGTCCAGGAGGAGACCAGACTCAAGAACCTAGGAAGTCACTCTATTCATTACGTGAAAAATCAAGGAGCTAAAAAGAAAGTTGTTAAGAAACATGGAAAGGGTAAAGGACCATTAAAGATTAATGAGTCCTCTACTAACATTCGGAAGAAAAATGACAAATGTCATTTCTGCGGGAAGTCTAGACATTTTCAGAAGGACTGCTTAAAGTGTAAAGCTTGGTTCGAAAAGAAAAGTGAGCATAGTGCTTACGTATGTTTTGAATCAAATTTAACTGAAGTTCCCCATAATACTTGGTGGATTGATTCTGGATGTACGACTCATGTTTCTAATGTGATGCAGAGATTCCTTTCAACCCGAACCATAAACCCAAATGAGAAGTTCGTCTTCATGGGGAATAAAGTCAAGGTTCCAGTGGAAGGTGTCGGGACTTATCGTTTAATCCTTAATACTGGATATCACTTAGACCTTATGAATACTTTTTATGTACCTAGTATCACTAGAAATTTAGTTTCTTTGTCTAAGTTTGATGTTGCTGGATACTCTTTTAAGTTTGAGAATAGTTGTTTCAGTTTATTTAAGCGTACATGTATGATTGGAACTGATACACTTTATGATGGTTTATATAAATTGAATTTGGATAATTTATATGCTGAAACTCTCATGATCTTGCATCATAATGTTGGCACTAAACATAGTTTGGTGGATGAAAGATATGCTTATTTGTGGCATAAGCGTTTGGGACATATCTCCAAAGAAAGAATGCAAAGATTAGTAAAGAATAATATCCTTTCAGATTTAGATTTTACTGATCTGAATGTATGTGTGGATTGTATTAAAGGCAAATAAACAAAACACACAAAGAAAGGAGCCACAAGAAGCACTCAACTTCTTGAAATCATACACACTGATATATGTGATCCATTTGACGTAAATTCTTTTAATAAAGAGAAGTATTTCATCACTTTCATTGACGATTTCTCGCGTTATGGATATGTTTATTTACTATATGAGAAATCTCAAGCAGTAAATGCCTTAGAAAGTTATATAAACGAAGTGGAGAGGCAATTAGACAGAAAGGTGAAAATTGTCAGGTCAGATAGAGGTGGTGAGTATTATGGAAGATATGATGAAAGTGGACAACACCCTGATCCGTTTGCTAAGTTCCTTGAAAAGCGTGGTATTTGTGCTCAATACACAATGTCAGGCACACCGCAACAAAATGGTGTGTCTAAAAGGCGTAATCGAACCTTAATGGATATGGTTAGGAGTATGTTGAGTAATTCATGTTTACCTGTATCGTTGTGGATGTATGCTTTGAAGACTACCATGTATTTGTTGAACAGGGTTCCTAGTAAAGCGGTTCAAAAGACTCCTTTTGAGTTATGGACAAGTAGGAAACCCAGTTTAAGACACCTACATGTTTGGGGTTGTCAGGCAGAAGTAAGAATTTATAATCCGTAAGAAAAGAAACTGGATGCAAGAACAATCAATGGATATTTCATTGGTTATCCAAAAAAATCAAAGGGGTATATGTTTTACTGTCCTACTCATAGTACAAGAATTGTTGAAACTGGAAATGCTCAGTTCATTGAAAATGGTGAAACCAGTGGGAGTGAAGTTTCACGAAATGTGGAGATTAAGGAAATTAGAGTACAAGTTCCAATAACAAGTACATCTTCAAGAGTTGTTGTTCCAAATGTTGTAGAATCACACGACAATCAAGAAGAATAACAAATTAACGATCCTGAGATTAACAATGATCCGATAATAGAACAACCACAGGAAATAGTATTAAGAAGATCTCATAGAGAAAGAAAGTCTGTTATTTCGAATGATTGCGTGGTTTATCTACAAGAGTCAGAAAATGACCTAAGTATTGATAATGACCCAGTTTCATTTTCAGATGCCATTAATGGTGATAATTCTGATAAATGGTTAGATGCTATGAAAGATGAGTTTAAATCAATGACACATAATGGTGTATGGGATCTTGTGGAATTGCCAGAAGGATATAAGAGTGTTGGGTGTAAATGGGTCTTTAAGACTAAGCATGACTCTCATGGCAATATCGAACGTTACAAGGCCCGACTTGTTGCTAAAGGTTTTACTCAGAAAGACGGCATTGATTATAAGGAAACGTTTTCACCTGTTTTTAAGAAAGATTCCTTTACAATTATCATGACATTAGTAGCTCATTATTATCTTGAGTTGCATTAAATGGATGTTAAAACTACTTTTCTGAATGGAGATTTAGAGGAAGATGTTTATATGAATCAACCAGTGGGGTTTATTGAAGAAGGAAAGGAACATATGGTGTGTAAACTTAAGAAATCAATATATGGACTTAAACAAGCTTCTTGACAATGGTATCTTAAGTTCAATGATACTATTTTGTCCTTTGGATTTAAGGAAAACACTGTTGATCGGTGTATATATCTGAAGGTCAATGAGAGTAAGTTTATATTTCTGATTCTGTATGTTGATGATATCTTGCTTGCGACTAATGATCTTGGTCTATTAAGTGAGACTAAGAAGTTTCTCTCTAACAACTTTGAAATGAAAGATATGGGTGAGGCATACTATGTGATAGGAATAAAAATATTCCGTGATAGATCACAAGGATTTGTTAGGTTTGTCTCGGAAAGTATATATTAATAAAGTTTTGAGAGATTCGGAATGGAGAATTGTTCGAGCATCTCCCAGTTCCAATACGAAAGGAGACAAATTTAGTCTCATGCAATGTCCAAAGAATGACTTGGAACGGAAACAGATGAAAAATATCCCTTATGCATCTGTTGTTGGGAGTTTGATGTATGCTCAAACATGTACGAGGCCAGATATTAGCTTTGCAGTTGGTATGCTTGGTAGATACCAGAGTAATCTTGGACTGGATCATTGGAAGGCTGCAAAGAAAATTTTAAGATACTTACAAGGAACAAAGAATCACATGCTTACTTATAGAAAAGTTGATCACCTTGAGGTGATTGGATATACAGATTCAGATTTTGCTAGTTGTATGGATACACGAAAGTCTACATTTGGTTATGTGTATCTTTTAGTCGGAGGAGCGATTTCATGGAAAAGTGCGAAGCAGTCTATCATTGTTGCATCCACCATGGAAGCTGAATTTGTGGCATGCTTTGAGGCCACAGTTCAAGCTAATTGGTTGCGGAATTTTATTTCAAGACTTGGAGTAGTCGACAGCATTGTCAAGCCGCTGAAAATTTATTGTGACAATTCCGCAACAGTCTTCTTTTCTAAGAACGACAAGTATTCCAAAGGTGCTAAGCATATGAAATTGAAATACTTTGCTGTTAAAGAAGAAGTTCAGAAACAGAGAGTGTCAATAGAACATATTAGCACTGATCTTATGATTGTTGATCCTTTAACAAAGGGATTACCGCCCAAGTTGTTTGCTGGCCATATAGTAAATATGAACATTATGTTTACTAGTAGTGAATGTTGAATGTTAATGTTATTATTAATGTTTATGTGACACTCTGAGATCTTTAATGTATAAGTTTCTAAAATTTATGTTTTCTTCTTTATTTATATGCATGCAAATTATGATGAAGAAAACAAATTATGTTATTATTTTTAAAATGATATTATGTTTGAACCCATTATGGACTTCTCATTATAAAGTCATATTAAGGAGAAAGAGATAATATAGTGGTACATGGAAGGGAGCCTGTCGATTGAATGACATGTAACCGCCATGACTCTTGTTATAGCTGTATCTTTAATTATGAATAATGATAGAACCAATTTATGTAAGGTCTTTTAATGCGCATTATGACTTAAGTATTAAATCACAGAATCGTATGACATCACATGAGTCAAGTGGGAGAATGTTAGAATTAATTTAATTAATTCATTCCAGCATGTGACTCATATGAAATATAATGATAAGCCCAAATGTGATTTAATAAATTATAAGGACCTATTGGTTATTATGTGAAGTCAGAATAAAATAAAGATAAAATAAAATATTAACTTACGGTAACCAACTTGATGGACGTTGGTCAATAAAAGGGATTAGGGTTCTGTCTCTGACCATAAGGTTTTTTCACGGTAAACCATCAAGAAAGCGAAACGTGAGAAGAAAAAGAAAGACAAAGAAATAGATTGGAAAAAGGAGATTGGAGAACGAAAAGATCAAAGAAAATATTCTCATGGATCAAGGTTAGTCTTCTTACTATGATTCATGTATTGATGTATGTAAAATTGTGAAAATCAATAATCTAAAGATCCTGTAGAGTAGTTTTTTATAATGAATTAAGAACGTAGGAAAACTACAGAAAAACTTACATTACCAACTTATTTTCTCTTGCAAAATGCTGGTTCAAAACTTGTGGTGACAACCACATTTTATGTTATTTTAACCAGCTCAAACATAAAGAGTGAAACAGAATAGGAAAAGATTAAGCCAGCCACTGAAATGCCATTTTTTCTTTACATTTTTCTCCTGCTTGGGGAACTAGCTGCAATTTAGAACAATTAGAGCACTTCCATGCATTTCCACCGCTGTTGAGAACGTCCCTTCAGTTATTTGTACAGCATCTCCACTCCACACTTCACTGCCCTCACAAGAACTGAAGTCTCTGCCAGGAAGTGACTTAGCCAGATTAGATACTTGTGCAGATATTACCATCTTCTGTTCACTTAGATTGAAGAAAGCAATATAGACTTCTCCTACACAGAGATACAATTCTAAGAGTTAGAGCAGAATAACTTCAACAAATTCTTTAATGTGACATGCTGCTAGTTCACCCTCAATCAATGTCTGCCAAACATTCACAAATGTAGTTTGGCTAGATTTGATAAGACATTTTTAGAGATAATATGCTCATATTTACCAAGTGTTTATTGGATTGGGTGATCAAGCCGTTAAGTTTGTCCAATTAACCAATTTAATTGATTTTTATCTTTCTAACAAATGAGCCCAATTCAAAACCAAACGAATTCCTTTACTTATATATTCATTTTTTATCCTCTCTAGAATTGGATAACCTTTTTCTCTCATTAACAAATATACTCCAACTGAAATGCTAATTTCAGGAATTTTTATTAACTTTTACTATAGATTCATGCAAACTCCATTTTATCTTTGTTACATTGCTATTATTGTTAAGGTTAGTGTACACCGTTTAATAGATATATGAAATAATGTTATATTGAGATTAAAATACCCTGCTTCAATATCTCATTATTGACAACCCAACGGCCTCAACCTTTTCATTCTGATTTTAATCGGGTTGGTTTTGATTTTTAGATTTTCTTTTTCTAAATTTGAATAAACCATATCAATCAATTCTAATTGGTTCAGATTGTTTATTCCATCTAAAATTGAACCAAACTTAGTGTTTGGTGGACGATAGGCTACCATTGTGGGATTTTTTTTCTATTTAAATGCCTATGATCAGTAATTTCTGTTGATATTTGGATGAAGTTCCAGAAAGAAACAATCAAAATTTATCAGTAGTTATTGTTAACAGACCTTTTCTTCCGACAGCAATCCAAGAGTGCAAGCCACCAGAATTAATGATATCTGCAAAAATGAGCAACATGCATCATGAATATTAAATCAGAGGAAAAAACAGATAAACAGAAAAACTGCATGAATCACAAATCATTCTAGAAAGTGGTGTATATTTACGAAATTTCACCTTCCCGAGACTCTATTATTGCACACAAGCCAGAATAACTATTCACCAGGGTCCCATTAGGGTTCAATTCCCACATCTGTCAAAGACTCAAAATCAATTTCTAATAAAATACACAATTATACACACACACACACACACACATATATATATATATAAAGGTTATGTCATATAAAGAACCGAGGAAATTTTAGGATTTTTGTGTATGCATGTATTTTTTATATATGATGTAGTATAGTTTATATCTCATGTCAATATCTATTTTATTTATGTACTCTATATATATAAAGTAAAAACATAACAAAATATCAAATATTAATAATATCTCAATAATAACTACCTAAATCAGAATAATAATGTAATATATTTTTCTTTTATGCTAAACAATAATAAAAAACTCTTAATACCTACTTTAAATAAAAAGATATTAAAGTAATATTTTCAACCAAAACTTGAGAAAGTGATACTAAGATTGGGATAGAAGTATCTTTGAATTGTATTAAACCAAGACAAATTGCATAAACTACACACTGACTACATCTACCCTTGCAAAGCCTAAAGAGAGATTAAACAGACCTGATTTGAATCCCACCTGCAGGGAGAAAATGTCCCTCTCTTGAACTCTTTAGAAGTGAGCTTGTGTTTTGGAGAAGCATCCAAGCAAAACTTTATTTTGTTGCTTGCAACTAAATGGTATTTCCCTTGATGATACTCTTGATACATACTCACTTCATCTCTGTATCAGTATCCAAGTAACAATTTCTGTTGTTAAAAATATTATTACTCAAATCAAAGTTAGGAAATATGGAGCATAGAAAGATTAGGAAGATTACAATAGGAGTGGGAAGTAAAGTTCTCTTTTGTGCACACAGAAGGGGGGAAGATGCTTGTTTCCTAAACTCCTTTTCCAACATATTCTTTCAAGATATTGGTTAAGACTTTCACTAGCCCAACCCCTTGCCTTTGACTCGGTGCAGCTTGTGAGTCTTAACGAATGAGTGGTAGTTGTCTTTATTTCTTTGCTGCTTCTTCTCATACCAAAATCCTGATCTTCACTCTTAACACTTATGATGTAAGAAAACTGCCAATGCAACAAAAGAAATATGACCCTAATTTGATAAACATACTTTTCCCTACGCCCCAAAAAAGTTAGATGGCTCACATGCCTCCATATTATTTGAGCTAAAAGAATTAATCTCCAAAAGGGTAGGATTTGTGATGATGTCATATGTGCTAGGATCAATCTTCCGAACATCTCCACCATACATAAGGGGAGACTTAGACATGGACCACAGAGTCATCTGTGACATAAAATACATTCACTCAGTCTATTGATAATGCATATATAGTTGTAAACAATTTAAAGGTAACACATGAATACATCAAAAAAAAAAAAAAACCTAAGTTGTGCTTTTATACCTGTGTCTTCTTTTCTTCCAGATTGAGGGAACTAAACCTATGTGGACCTTCATTTGAACCTTCCAAAAACAAAGAAAAAATGAAAATGTAGTGTCATAATCCATTTTTCCGTGAGTCTAAATTCAAACAGATTGTAGCAATTTTCCATGATGAGATTGCAAAACGTCTTTTGAGTTTCTTAATCTAACAGTTTCAGGGAATCAGCAATGTATGTATATATATATGTTTCACATAAAAATTTATATCAAAATGACCAGAAGATAGAAGGAAGATAAATGAATAATGAAAAGTGAAGTAATTTGGTCTTTGACCTCAATGTTAACTAACTGATTAAAAGTAAAAGGGTCTTGATATTCACACAGGAACGAGAAAAAGTAGCAGCCCGGTCTTATTACCAGGATCTGTTAGCCATCCAAAGGGTAGCATGTCCAAATCAGGCCAGGATTTCCCCATTAAACCTTTTGCTCCTATCATATTAGCATTTGCAAAACCCCTGACAGAATCAAATAACTAAATTTATGTGATATAATGATGGAATAACAGATCAGGAATTGAGAAACAAAATAATAGCAAGGTACTCTGAAGACATACAAATACACTTAAATATAACAATGTAACCACCTTGCAATATCAAAATGTGCTTTGACATCCTGCCATGTATCCCAGTCATCTCCTGTTATACGATACATATTGACCAGTCCACTGACATCCTTGGCCATGGCTGGTGTCACACTGGTTCCAGGAGACAAAGAATATACAATGGGACGATCAAACTCCTTGAGAACCTGGATGGAATGACATGTAATTAGTAGCTACCAAAGGATCTTCCATGATATCACCAATCTCAGATTTCATATGAGAACAAGAGGGGTGGAGGGTAGGAGGACAGGGGAACTGCTGAATACCTCAGACACATAGCTTATTTCATTTAAATCAAAGTCATCCCCAAATACACAGTCATGTTTCACTGCATGGAAAGTAGAAAAGTTATAATAACTGCCAATGAAAGGCATAACCTTTGAATTACATGTCATAGTTTTTAGTATTTTCTATTGCCTTTTTTTCCTTCAGCATGACCCCTGAATTTAAATATGATCACATAGGAAATCTACACCGATATGATATGAAAATAGTAATTGAAGTTTATGATATGATATACAATTATTGTACCAGAAATAATTACAAATGCTTCACTTATCCAAACCTAGTGGTGCAGATGCAATAAAATTTTGAAGTCATCACGATTTCAGTCAATGACATGAACTTCCTGTTATAGGGCATTTTAAAAAAATAGAATGCAAAGTGGTTGTCGGGTTACCAAAATCAACATCCCATGAAGCATACTGCTCATAAAGGGATTTCAAAAAGGCTTTCCCAGCTCCCAACTTTGTATTCACACTCATGAAACCATGAGGCATCCATGCACAGGCCCTTTCTCGGATTGCTATGTCTTTTGCATACCACACACGGCCAGATTCTTGATAAGCACCTCCCTAAGAAATTGAAAGATATCAACGAGATAGTTTAGATTGAGGTATACAACTTCCTCATTTTCTGCTATGCAATGTTATATTTCAGACGAAATGCATTAATGGGGCATCCATTATGACTAACTTTTTCCATAAAAAAAGTCAAGCAAGAAAGAAATATAGTCAAGTTATAACATAAATACAAAGCAATACCGTTGTTGTATCAAGGATAGGGGTGTTTGCGTTGACAGCTTGTGTGCTTATTCCTCTCATGACATGAATCCCAAATTTTAAACCCAAGCTATGAACTTGATTAGCCACTTCAGCAAATCCTTTCCCCTTTTCAGAAGAAGGCCACCTTCCTGGATCAGGAAGCATCCTTCCCCATTCATCAATCACATCAAATCCAAGGGAATCATGATAAGCACCCTGAACTTTTCTTCTATACCAGAGATAATCCACCACAACATACTACAAGGGTTTGAAGGAAAGTTATCATGTCTATATCTAAAGAAAGACTACTATAACATATTCAAACTCACTCATGAGCTATGATTCCTCACAGAAACTATACCTCATATCCATGATCATGGAGACGCTGAGAAACTATTTCAGCACTCTGTAAGAATTCTTCTTCAGATATTGTCCAGCTAAAGGAATCATAGGAGTTCCAACCTCTTGGTGGAATGTTAGCTTGCTGTCGGTCACTCTCGGATACATTTTGAGACCACACACTACAACGACAATAATAGATATATTATAGTGGTGTAATCTCTACACTACTAATTTGTCTAATATCTCGCAAATAATGACAGAACAAGGTCAAAAAGATCAAGGCATCCAGAGCCTGCACTAGGACACGACTGTGCAAATTATGATTCGTTTTAATCCAGTCATCATTACTACTTTCTGCAATTAGTTAGAACAAAATTGAATCTTGATCATAAGTTTAACATTTATTCCACACACAGTGTTTAAAATTGAAGTTTGTTTATAATAATTCAAAAACTATATATGCTATAAATGCTGGAATCTGTACCAGATTCCTGGAGTTGACTAAATGCAGGAAAAGTGGCTAGGGCCAAAGTGAAATTGAGATGCTAATTTTAAAATTTATCATAGATGTATATGATAGCCAAAAACCATATACGGAGCAGCTTTTGTCATGCATTGAGAAATACTATATCTGAACTTTAAAAGCAACTCAAGAGAATAATCTTTTAAGAAAAAGCGCAAAAACTTTGTGTTTTGAATAAAATTTTGCAATAAAAAGGAAACGATGAGATGAACGATGCAATTGCTGATCAAACCATCTTCCAATGTGGGGAGGATTCCGAGAGGAAACGTGCAAGTGAAACACGAAATCTGCTAAACTGTCGCAAAAGGAAAGGAGTAAGATGATGTCATGCTAATATACCTCTCAAAACAGAGACAAAGGAAAATAAAAAGAGAGATGGAGAAGGAGAAACACTTCATGAGTGCTTTTGCTGGTGCCGCTGTCTCGTTACAAAGCTCAACTCAGTTTATATGCCAACAAAAATCTCCGCTGTAATTGATGTCTTTAACATGCTCGTTAAGAAAATCTAACAATTGTTTGTAAAATAGGTTATTATATTGAAAATATAAAATAATAATTATTTATTGACAGAGTATATTAAAGGTTCTTTCATTGATTTTAAATTTTATGAATTATACCCTTAAATTGAAGGGAAAAAAAAAAGACGTGTTGTGTTGTAAAACATACACGTGTAGAAACAAAATAGTGAGTTGCAAGTTATAACCCCCACGTTTACATTAACATATTTACTGTAGCGAACTAGTTAAGTATGTTTTTGGTTGCATTGACAGTCCCAAAGCCGAAGTAATTCAATCACTTTAACTTTTTTTTCTCATTGGATAAGGAAGACTTGAGAGCATAAGAACAGTAAACAAAGAAACAATGGTAACACTTTATGGGGGGCGTTGAATGAGGTTTGTTCCGCACGTGCTGACTGGTTTCAAGGACAGCCTCGTTGTGGGGACATCATATTTGCGGGCGGTACCAACAGATTCCTTGCTCAGCACAGAACAGAACATACACAAACGACCGTTTCATTTGGCGTGGTTAGGCTCTTTCTTCAATCAAGATTTAGACGACAGACACTAAACACAAATATTTATTACGTAGTAAGTAATATAATATGTATTGCTTGCCATCTTACTATTTTAAGTTTTCTCATTAATACTTCAATTTTTTCCGTACACACTTGTTGTTAATTTCTCGATTACTTCTTTCATTGTCCATTGTTTATCCTTTTCCTTTTCAGTATAATACCCAACATCGCATGACAATTTACAGTTATCCAGTTTTCAACCACTGGCTCGAGAAAACATCTCTACTGGCTTACGATCATGCCAAAAACTTGCAACGGCGATTGCTTGCTTACAGGTAGGTGCATTTGGGTACTGAATGACCCGATACATAAGTTATCTCGTGATTTAACGTACTTCACATTTTTTGGCTCCTCTATTAAAAGATGAAATGTAAATAATAAATTATTTAGAAAATAAAAGGTTCAAAATTCCTAAAGTATCTTTAATTACACGCTGCACTTTAAAGGAGCCAAATCCTCCTACATAATCATGAAAAGCTTTCATCACCTCACCCTCGCATTTTACTGCCAACGCATCGTAAAATCACAAAAGAAACCTAGCAATGTAATTCATTAATGATTTGCACATTTTTCTTAGTACAAAAAATAATCATTTTTTTCCTGGAAGAAGAAAAGTGGACAGGGAATTGCTACATGTTAGATGAAAAAGACAAAATCCACCTGGTGTCTCGGCAAAGAGAATACTCAGAATAGGAAATCTGTTCATTAAAATGATAACCAAGTGTCCAATCTCATTCCTTCTAGCCATTATCTCTGCTTCAAATTTCTATTTACTGCCTCTCCTATCTCAAAGCTTGTATTGACCGGAGCCCGCATTCCGATATTTACCCTGGAGATAGATAGAATTCATAACTTAAATTGCATATTTCTCCCAAATGCATCTTGAGTAAAGTCCCAGTGTGGTTAATAAAATTGCTGTAATCAGGCTCTGCACATGCATGGGGTCAGAGGGTTCTCCCAGAGGTCATAGTTAGGGAAAGTCTCTTCTGGCAATCCCGTCCGTGTCTGGTGAGTAACAACAACATCTTCTACAAAAGTAGCCCAACCCATGTATGGATCCCCAAAAGACTTGGACATTAGCCCTTTGTCAGGCTTAATTGACTTTAGACGGTGGCCCATGTATCTACGAGCCCCGATAATCAGCTTAGCAAAGTTGCCTCCATGGGTCATCACGAATACATCTGACTTCAAGCACACTAAGAAGTCAAGAGCTGCAAGGCTTGTCACATGCTTTCTGAAACCATCTAACTCCTCTTTGGTTGCTAGCTCCTCCTTGGTAACCTGTTGTCGAAAGGGGAAAATATTACTCACATAGCAAAATAATCGAAGGAATTCATACATGAATTGTGACAATATGGAAAGGTAAAATTCTTTTGTTTTTTCTTCTTATTTTCTCCTCTAGGAGAGCTTATGGAAAAGCTCCTCCAAACAGACTCATATTTACTATATTATAATGGATACAAATAGAGCGAGAGAACATTGCATCATAGCTGACTGATTGATAGTCTTAACTGACAGAACTCCATGTCATGACATCACTTCATTCACTAAATAGAAATGAATGTGATTTTCATCAAAAACAAATAAGACATTGCATCATAGCATGACTGTGCCATAGCCTTAATTGACATTAGAACTCCATGTCATGACATCACTTCATTCACTACATAAGAATGATTGTAATTTTCATCAAAAACAGAGTAAGACAAAGGTTCAAAAACTTCAGGACTCCACGAAGTACCTCATTTTCTAAAATTCATGTGGTGGTGAAGAGGCCTTACCAGATTAGGGAACATATTCCTTAGGGGAGCCATCCGGTTTTGTCCACCATACACCTGTCCAGAAGCTACATAAATTTGAGTTTCCTTTGGATAGCCCATAGCCCGAAGAATAACAGCCACTTCTCCAGGCTCTAGAGGACATCGTCCTTCCTTGCGCTTCTGCAGAGCTAATTGCCAAAGATGGGAACCATTCTGCATTTTTCAACATAGACAATGTGATTAAAATGCTCCAATATAAGGTTTTTAGAGCTCATGTTATTTTGATAAAAAATAGGATGACCACCTTGTACCGTCGAGGCCACTCCTTTTTTCTATACTCTGCCATTTTGACTTTCTCCTCTCTTGTCCCCACAAAATCACAGAATGACAGTCCCACCATTCCTTTCTCAAATCGTAGATGCAGAGCCCTGTTTACAGTAAAATTCTTAAATCACATGACACTGAAAAAATGCACCCATAACTCAGTTACAGCAAGATCATGATCACAAATGTCACATACATATAAGGGTTTGAACTGCCAGTTCGGTTTCTCATTCTTGATGCTAGTGAATCAGCCATCTGCTCTATAGCAGGAAGAAATTTGAGCGCATGATAATTAACTCTACATCTCAGCTTGTTGATTTCCGGAGGAACATTGTCATATCTGAAACAAGAACCGAAACATCATGACAGGATCGAATTACATATTAAACAGAGGCACATAACATATATAATCCTTGGACTACCCCAGCCTGTCAACAAACGGTTTAAGAGCCATAATCTTCTTCTCCTTGATTCGGGGCAGAACATTATCGATGTAAAACTGTGCAGGTGCATATTTTGGAATGTTTTTTACAGTCCGTCTGAAAGACAAGATATATTTGCTTTGTTAGTCAACATAAGTGTATCGAATCACAGAAGGCATCAGTAACAAATACCAACTATATGAAACATCTTGGTTGATATCATCGGTAACAATATCCTAAAGCTAAGAGAAACATGTAAGAAGTTAGATGCTCGATGAACAGAATAATATTTGTCTTATCTGACCATAAACAACCCCCGTCCGCAAAATAAGTCATCACCAGTTTAGGATATTTTAATGAAAAAGTAATTTAAATTCATAATATTCATTTGTCATAAGAACCAGAACTTCCACCAAAACCAACAGTTAGCAAGTCTATGGAGGAAACAGATAACCATAAAAAATCTAACTAGCTCTTGATATATTTATCTGTTTGTCAGCTATAACTTGGGATGTAAATGTCAACAGACTCAAATAAAAAAGCAAGGGAATCTCTAACTTAAATTTAATTTTCATGCTATCTGGTCACTGGTCACAAAACCCAGCACTTCAATCACACCTGTTGTCAATCAGTACACTGATAAAACCAGAAAGAAAAATGAGAGTGGTTGAGGACATATTATTCCCTGTTTAAATTTTATGGGAAAAAAGAATATATTTATCCATCTCCTATACCAACTAGGGATTTAAGTTTTCAACATGCAAATAAAAAGTACAGGAATCTATCAAACCTTATGCTAGAAAATAGCTCTGATTTATCAGTAAACCATTTTGGGATATCTCGTACAATACGAACATCATACTTCAGATAGTCAATGAAGTGATCCACATCGAAAATGTCTTCAAATTTACTGCAATCATGAAATGCATCATCATGGTTAGAATGGAAGACTGTCATTGAAATCTACCACCCCATGCAAGAAAACTATCAGAACAGAAAGTACAGCTCCCAGAGTGATAAGAGAATGAGCCAGATTGAATAAAATACAAGAACTATTAGACTGTATAGGTTAAAGAAAAATTACATTGATGATAAGATGTCATACCTATGCTTAGCAAAACTGTGGTAATAATTAAAATTTAAACAGTTTAATAAATAATCATCCCTATAGCTGAGACACTTTTTAGTTTTAGTCCCTAAAGGAGAAAGAAAAAAATAAAAACATTTTGGTTCTTATACAAAAATCATGTATGCATTGGTGTATGCCATTTTTCCCAGTTATCAAAGTGTTAGTGAGATGCTAGGTTTTATCCCAGTGTCCCTATTTTGCAACTATAGTTGACTGCAAAGAAATGGCATCATCTCCGAGTCAGTTTCTTCTTCAACCTAAAATTAATCCACAAAAATAATTTTTTTTCAACACAAAGCATGTCATTTTTTGCATCCACCACATCCATTAACTATCATCCCAGTCCACAACCAAGGAAAATATCAAGTAATCATCAGCCAAAGTTCTCAAAATATGATAAACAGTAATCCGATTTATAATCCAAATAACATCTTCAATTAAAAACCAACAGCATCCCAAACGTCACCCAGAAAACTTCTGTAATTCATTGCTTAACCAAACTCCTTAAACACCTCTGTGATAGTTATCTTCAAAACTGCTACAAACAACAATCCTACGCCCATAACCCAGAAAGTAGAAATTTTGCCCTAAAATTATGATAGTTTATAGTAATAATAATAATCTCCATCTCTTCCCTAGCAGCAAACCCACGACATCCCAAACCATCATCCAAATGAGACCCACAAACAAAATGACCCTAAATCACCTGCAAACTGTCCCGTTAGTAGCATCTCACCCACACTGTCAGTCTCCATATTACCCAATCATAAACACATGACCACTGTGGGAGTTAATCTTCATTAAGATCACATTACCAACTGTCCACACTGAGTCAGTGCTTCTACATTCCTTTTGAACCCAAAAAAGAGCTACCCCACCGTAGTTTGCATTCATTAGCCATAAAATTAAGAGTAGGATGCCTGGGTTGGTTTGGTTTGAGACATACTATAGTTCTACAATTTGGAAGGGAAAGGTTATTAAGTTCGTACAAAAACCTTGGTTACTAGAAGCTAGGAAGGTTGTTCTCTTTACAAGAATACACCAACTTTACTCTAGATTAGTTTTTAATGGACTAGAAAATAGGCTTTGAAAAAGTTGGCTCGTTAACCATGTCCTTTACTTTCAGTCAAATGTAATTGCTAAGTTAGAACATCATTAGACAACTTAGCATCCGAAATAAACTATCATAAAAGAGGGGCAAACAGTGGCATCTAATATGTAAATGGTTTTTCATGAGAACCAAGATGTCAACTAAAGGAACCAAATTACTAAATTAACCTAATTAAACTTATCTAAGCAACATAAAAAAATTGGACAAGAGATCTCACGTTTGATCTTTCCAAATCTGATCCTGCTTCAAAACAGGCAAGATAAGAGTGGCATTCATTATTTTGGCCACAGCCACTGCATTGCATATCTGCATTTTGAAAGATGTGCTGAAGTGAATCACTGGCAGATAAATATTATAAGATAATTCTATTAAACCTTCCACAGACTGTTATTAACACCATTTCATGTAGAGTACAAGAAAGTAAAATCAGAACCATGGATCCAATGCAACATTGAATTTGCATAAAGACTCATTCTAAACAGTAATTCTAGTGGCATTCCAATTTGCTGATGAACCAAATTGGAAATAGTATAGTATTGAGATGGCACTTTAACAATTAAATCAGTCTCCTTAGATGATTCTATCTAAAAGGTGCACCATGAAATTTAAAATGCAAAAAATACTGTTCTTAGCTTATTCTTTTACATTCTAATTATATCAGACAGTTAGAAGAACATTATGTTGACATATTTTACAATTGGCAGGAAATTCTCCAACTAAAGTGCAGCAGTCAACAAGAGAAGAATGGCTATGCAAGAAAAAACAGGCAAACAGTAAAATGTCACATTCACAGTGAGTTCCAGAAAAGAAAAACAGTCTAAGCTAGAGAATATCACAATGAAATAACATATCTCATACCGCAATTCTTTGCTGATTTAGACCACCTTCAGCATGGATGAATATATAGCCATTTGTTTCATTTTCAGGAGGAAGATCTGTATGGAAGTATAAAAGTACTATCAGTAATAGCAGTAATACTAGAAACAACATGCACAGCACTAGTATGAACATATTCCACACTAACATATACGATATGGATAGGGAATTTTATATTAAGAAATAACTGAAACAAATAACTTGTAGATATCACTTTATCAGAACCCAATTGTTACAAGTAAGAAAAAAGGTAGGATGTTGCATAGTTAATGAAGGGAGAAGAAAGTGCTGAAAAATGTTTAAGGGTCCATTCACTCCATTAAAAAAAATTCACATTGCAGGGATGACTAAATGGTACATCACGGTCTTGAGAGACCAGTCATAATTGCTCTTATTTGATGCTACTGACAAATGCATAATATATTAAATTGTCACAGCTTCTGGATGAAGAGATATGGTCATTACATTATTTCTCAATACCCTGTTTTGGCATGGCTTGCAATTTTAATGTTATGTTAAATAGATAGATATAATAATGGACAGAGAAAACCAAGGAAACCTGATAAAACACCATCCCGGCGCTCAGCACAGGGCTTCCAAGATGTTGTCGATGAGAAAGGATTTTCCCAGAGAGATGGCGATTCCTTAACCTAAAAATAATACCCAAGAGGACATGAGAAGAGAAAATAACATCATTGTCGTTCAAAAATACAGAAGGAAGAAATGAAAACCAAAGCAGTGGTCCATCTGAGAACTTACATGTGGGCAATGAAGAACAATCCCGTCCTTTTTACACAAGTAAGGGGCATTCTACAATAAATTGCACACCAAATTCAATTATGAGAAATTGCTAAAAAAAGAGTAAGAAATATGACTGCACCAGCTGAATTATTTCATTCCGTATGACAACAAAAATACATGCATTACTTGTATATCTACTCGTAACTGAAGTTAAGTTACACAATAGCTAAACATTACAAAATCAAAACAAGAACAATCTATTGACACCACGTACAAATTCCACGGTAATTTAATTCAATTTAAGATAAAGAAACTAGCACTACAAATTGCAAATGATAAATTTCGTTTTCCACATACCAGAGGAGAAAAGGATGCAATGCATCATTAGTATTCAGTAGTAAATCTTAAAATGCGGACAAAGAGGACTCACGAGTTTATGGAAAATTGTGAACACGGAGACTAAACCAACGAGGAGAAGAAGGAAGGTGAAGAACACAGAGATCCTGGAGTTGTGAGGTGAAACCCTAGGGTCGTCGTTGAAGAAGGAGCAGACGTGCCGTTCGCGGTCCTTAGACGAGTGGCGATCGTGCTCATCGTCGGCGGCAAGATGGCTGTCGGGAATGAGAGGGGAGGCATCGCCGCCGCCGACGCCGACGACGGCGTCACGCTTCATCGGAGAATTGGTGGCTCGGCTGCCGAGAGAAGAGGAGTGGCGGAGCTCCGCCATGCTCCGATTCGAAATGTAGTGAGTTCTCTCGTTCTCTCTCTACTTTCTCTCTCCCCTTTCTCTTTCTATCACTAAACTAGGAGACAGTCTTCTTCCCTCACCAACACACGAGAAAGCAACATTTTCTTGTTGTGGGTGAGTCCCATGTGAATTCAGATCCACCTCTTTCCACTTTTTCTTTATATTCTTTTCCACAACCAGCGATTGCATACCAAACCAACCACTCCCTTCCACTATTATTATTATTTTTATATTGCTATGTGATAATTATATCATATATTATCATTATTTATTCTACGGTAATTCCCTTCCCCACGTGAGGGTATCATCGTCATTCACCGACACACACTCATCGTTTTACTCCTTTTGGTTTCACAATTTTTTTTTTCATTGACTTAGCTTACGAATGGCATTCATCATTTCTATCGACCAACTTGCAAAACGAGAACAAAATAATTGTCCTATATATTATTCACTTACCATAACCATTTTTATCATTTACATTGTCATTTGTGTCTCAACAAAATTACATCATTTTAAAACTTGTGATACAGTTTCGAATAGAATATCATATGACATTTTTGCAAGAAATGTATGTTCATAATTTTTGGATCATGTTAATGAATGTTACAAAATTATTATTTAATAACTTTGACTTTAACGGTTGTCGGTGTCCTTGGTTTTGTTGAAATGTCAAAGTTCAGATTCGCCAAGAATTAGAATTTCATAAATACAAACCAAACATATGTTTAATATTTTATTATTTTCGGGATTGAATTGAAGAATGGTGATAAAAAGCTACATCCTACAAAAGTGTGTCTAACACATTGTCCAATTGTATTACAACTCATGTCAGTTGATCACTCCAAGTTTCCATTCTTTCATGAAACAAAACTATAATATATAATGTGTTATTACGGTGACCGAGTTTCAAATTTCCACTTCAGGTTATTGAAGTTTCTTTCTTGGAAAGATTAGAGGTTTATCGGAGTGGTGGTCAAGAACGTGTAGATCAGATTGTGAGTATCATGTTACTGATCAGTAATAGCCCCGTAGGAATATTTAGTGTGTCAGTGTGGATAATAGAGTTTTGTTTTATTAATTTCTTTAGTTTTAAACAGCCATTTATCTTACAGGGATTTATTCTTATTTTTTAATATACTACAATTTTTTTTTTAAATAAAACTATGATGAATAAAAACTTCAAACGAATAATATCCTAAATATAAAATTTAATTCTAACGATACACCAACATTAACTTTTCATCAACCTTTATTAAAAAACATAAAAATTCTTTGCTTATTTTTCGTAAGCAAAACAAGATATATATAAAATTTTTATTTGTAAAATATTGTATGGGATTAGGGATGATAAAATGGGTTAGGTCGGTAGACCGAACAATCTGTCATAATATGGTGGAGCGGGTTAATAATTTTAGCACGATCAGTTTTAGTCGCCCTACCAAGTCTATCAACTTATCGGTCGACCATGCAACCTGCTTTACTAATAATTTTTTTATTGTGGTATAATATAAAAAGTTAGAAAGACAATATATAATATAAAATTTTATGAAAAGATAATTTTAAAAGTCTCGAGTATCTCATAACAAAAATTAATAAAGTCTCAAGTATCTCATTATTAAGGAAATTAAAAAAGTTTTATAATTACTTAAACTCATAAAACACTTTTCTTTCTTAAACACATACCTTTTTCTCTCTCCTCTCCTCTTACTCATCATCTCCTTGTTATTCATTCTTATTCATAAGGTAAAAATTATATATATCTCGTACTTTTATACTCTCTTTTATATTTGTTATTTTTTTAAGGTTTCATTTTTTTCTCTTTGTATTTTTCTTTATCATGACTCATTTATTATGTTTTTCTATTTGTGTTTTTGTTGAAATATCTCCGTAAGAAAAAATTATGATTTTTTTTTTAATTTTAAACAGGAAATGAATTGTTCAATTAGTAAACTTACTTGTGGTTTTGATGATGTCGTCAATTAAAATGAAATTGAGAATGAGATTATCTTAATTTTATTATTCTAAAATATAATTTATTAAAATAATATATTAGTTATAAACTTGATATATATATATATATATATATATATATATATATATTGAATTGTTGATAAAAATAATTTTATTATTAAATTTATTTAAAATATTTGATTTTAAAATAAGAAATATGATGGGTCACCTGCTCTTTGGCGGGACAGAGACCAAGACATGTAGTCCATCATAACTATAATGGATTAATTTGTCTCGTCTCATTTTTTGCGAGTCAAAAGCGGGATGAACTAAAAAAATCGGATTCGCTCATTTTGTCATTCCTATGTAGAATTATATTGATCTAAAATCAAATAAAGATCTTTCATATAATTTGATTATCTTTTAAACTTGGGTTTCAAAATCATAATTTTAAATTTTGAAATGTGAGTTTGACAATTATTTCACCATGTGTTCACATAAGAGAAGTTACGTGGAATTTGATTTTTTAAATATGATTTTTGCATTGTGATATTATATTTATATTACTATTTATTTTTCAATATATGATGTAGAATATATTTTACTTATAATTATCAATTAATATTAATGTATGTGAAATTGAACTCGAATTCTTGAAGTACAATATTATATTTTGAGTATTAAAAGATGAATCAAACTTAGTTAAAAAAAATAAATTAAAAATCACTTGTCAAAACAGTTTTTCATCACTAAAGTGACTTGTAAACCCCTTAATTTCATTTATACATTTATTCTATAATTAATTATTAGTAGTATTGAGATGAATGGTAACAAAATTAGTTTAGGTTGAATCATGTGATTAATTGACTCATATTGACTAGTCCTACCTATAATACACACTTAATATATATATATATATATATAGGCGTAAGGTTTTCATTATGTGATATTTTAAAAGTTCCAGTGTTCTTAAAAAAATCAAGATATATGCGATTGTTGTCGTTAATTGATCGTGCAAACTTAGTTTCTCTCATGTTAATGAAAAGCAAAAATAACTAGGTTATGTGAGCTTAGGTCATTAGATTAAATTTGCCAATTTGAATTCGTTGTATGAAATAAAAAAAAAAAAGGGTTCTTTAAGTATAGTCTACCAATACACCCTATGTAATAAAAAAAATCAAATTGTATTTTTTTAAACAGATAAAAAGAACTATATATAAAAAAGAAAAATTAAATTAAAATAAAACCAGGTGGTTTACGCGCCGCAAAACGTCATATTTGTAAAATTTCATCTTATTTGATTTAACCAATTTAAAGAATTTTAAATAATTTTTTTGTTTTTTTTAAATGAAGACTAGTTTTTAATTTTTACAAGTTATTTAAAATTTTTTTTATTTATCTGATAAAATTCATACTAATATAAATACATGTGAACGAATATTTTTTATTATAGACTAAATTTATAATAAATTAACATTTTAGCATACAAGTCATATTTTATAATTATGGTAAACATTTTATAACATGATGCAAGGTAAATTTGAATATTAATAAATTTTAAAAAGAGATCAATTTATAGAAAAAATTAATTGATTAAAAGGACGATATGTTAATATATATATATATATATATATATATATATATATGTATATATATAGATACCTTTGTTGAATAAATAAAAACTTAAAAACTAACAAAAATCTTAAAAACAGGTAATTTGTTTTCTCATCCACTCACATTTTGATCTTAAAAAGAAATTTGGGTTCTCGTAATTTAATTAATTGAACGAAACACTAGTATTTATGATTATCACAACAACATGGAAAATTGGGAGAATCAAATGGATGATAACAATAAGAATGATCTTGATTATAACAAAACGAGAATCAAATGGTTTATAATACTATAACCGTTAAAATAATAATTCCAAAAAAAAAAAACATTGTATAAACTGTATCCCAATTACTGTTCTTATTACCAAACCATTAATTCATGGTTACAAAATTATCATATCAACATCTTTCACTACAATTATTATTTTAATTAGTAAAAATACATACACGTGTATATATGTCCACAATATTTTTTAAAATATTAAAAATAAAATTATAATTTAAAAACTATTTTAAAAAGATATATATTACGAATGATAAAATAAAAAATATTATAAAAATATCCAATTTCTCTTATTAAACGTACAAATATTATTATCAACTACTATTTGACATAATTTTTTAAATAAAAATAAAGAAAGTTTTGAAACTTAAAATAGACCACTATCGAATATAAAATAAATATGATAAAAAAGTATTTTAAAATGAATGAAAAAACAATTTAATTTGGATTTCACTCTTAAATCATTGGAAAAAAGAAGAAGTATATATAATAAGCGGGTGAAGCGGCCAGACTCGAAAAACTAGTACAAGCAGCAGCGAGAGTGAGTCACACCCATAGGCTTAGCGAGGGTTTCAGTAGTGAACCGGGGCTGAGCGGTAGCCGGAAAATCCGTGTCTGCAGCGCCGCATTGACGCCGATGGCGGAGATGGTGAGGCTTCGTGTCGTGTTCGAAGATCGTGGCATGCTAAGCAAGTCAAAGAAGAAGGAAGGATTGAACCGTTGTTGGTTTCTGCTTAAACCCCAACACAACACCATTTCCGATGTTGCCTCTCATCTGCATAACACTTTCGGTCTCCACCGGACCTGTCCCCGTGGCATCATCCTCTTGGTATGTCTGCATATGCATGTTCCATTGCTCTTCTGCATCTTCATGTTCAACTGAAACAAATTGTTAAAATCGCATATCTCGTTTGGTTTATTGAGTATATCTCTTCGACGACTGAAATTTCTTTGACAACTGTGTCGATTCCGTTTTTTCTTATTGGATTTTAATGCAGATGGATGGTTTTGTTTTACCATCTTTTGAATCCACTTGCATTCTGAAGGATAAGGACATTGTCTGGTAAGTTTATACAATTATCGGTGTCTTTAAGGTTCCGCTTACGGTGTTATAACGTGTGTGTATATGTGGTAGTGTGAAAAGAAAAGGAAGCACATCCACTAATGACAAACTTACAATGCTGTCACCTGTGAGTCGTGCTCACGAGTCTATAGAGCTTCCAAATGTTCTTGCGATTGAGGGTCTTCAAGAAGAGTCTGGAGGAGAGGAAACCATGTCCCAAGAGGATAACAAAGTAGAAGATGCTGTCTATGTGGAATCTAAATCGGACGGGAAGGCCACCTCCAAGAAACGAAAAGCTTCAAAGAAGCTCAAGAGCCCTAGGTTAGCTCTGTTCTCAAAATTTAATTGTTAATAAAAGAAAGCTTGCAGAGTTGTGGGAGTTTTTTTCAGCTTTTTTAAGGGTATTTTGTTTTCTCAATATCATGGAATCTAGTTTTGCTTTCTCTTTTGCTCCCGCCCGAAACTAATAAAGTTAAAAAAGATCATAAAGTTTGATACGTAGATTACTATGATGATAACATTGACAAAACATGTTTCAGAAAGCATCAGTACTAAAGTTACATAAACAAAACCAAATCCAATTAGTTAGCTCAGTAGTTAAGCATCCTATGCTTACAATACCACTAGCTCAATGTTATGGTATCGTTGAGCCTAGAACTAATCCCGATTGTAGTAATGTGAGTGAAGAATGCCTCACTGATTACTGAGCCGACCCATCGGATTTAGTTCTGTTTATATGTAATTTTTGTATTGATGCTTTCTGAAATATGTTCTAGGTTATCATAGTAATCTATGTATCCGCTCCTATTTTAACTTCATTTGTTTTTGAGTGTATGATTACTTAGAGATCTTCCTTTTTCTCTTCAAAACATTTTTCCATGTTTTTGAACCTTGTAAGTAGTTATTGGAGCATGTAAACATTATTTGGGTTGCTAACTTGATTCCTTTATCTTTGACATTCAGTCAGAAGAAGATTAAGTTGTCTACTACAGAAAACTTGTCACACATTCCTGAGGTCCATGAGGAGGAAAATGGAAGCTCTGAAGGTTGTATTCATCACCAACTGAGTCTTGTCAAGAAGGAGAAGAAGAAGTCTTCCAATTTATCTAGCAAGCTGAATAAGTCAAACAACCTTGATAAACAGAAGAATGCCAATAGTGATTGTCCAAGTGAGGAAACCAGGTGCACTTTCATCACCCTTGTGATTCGTATGAGATGTCAATGGTGTATCTTTTCCTTCTCTGGATTCGTATGACATCTCAACTAGATGATATAATTTTCTGTGTGCTTTATCTGGCGATCCTTTTATCATGGTTATTTTTTTGTTTGTAGATTAACAGGTGTGCTTTCATGGAGTAGAAAACAATATACCTTTTTATATTATGCATAGATTGTTTGATTCCTCGGTTCTTATTATTTTCACACAATTTTAAATCTGTCTCCTTATGACAAGGATGTTCCTTTCCTAAATATCAGAAATGTTAAATATTTTTCCTTTTTTTTCTCTGATATGTTGTATAGGTTTGCTCAACCTCAAGATGAAAGTGGGACTAAAAAGGTAACATTTTATTTGCACTACTTTTGAATACACAAATATATCCTATTTGCATTGAACCAAGGTAGTTAAACTTGGGATCTTGGAAAATGATACAAAATTAAAAGTTTTGGAATTGTAACATAAAGCATAAGATTCTACAAGATCTATAAAATTCATATACATGCATATAGCATAACATAAATAAGAAAAAAAAACCCATATAACACACTAAATATTTAATTAAGCTTAAATTTATAATGATAGGTTAATAAACATAAGAAAGTCAATAACTAAACCCATACAAAACTCAACTCACAAATCATAAATCGCAAAAAAACAACTTATAATAATGTAGTAAGTGACTACTCCTAGTACAAAACACAACACATGAATACCTAGATAAACCTCTAAAATGAATCATCCAAATTAAAATCATAATCACTCAAGAGATCCTTATTTCTCCACCTAGCAAGATGAACAGTGAAATGAGAAAGAGAACAAGTGAACCACAATCACAGCTGCAGTGGCAGAGCACCAAACAGAGAGTCAAACAACTTCTAGTGTGATCAGATAAGTGCTGGTTCAGTGATTCGTGCAACAGTTTTGGGGCTTGGGTTAGAGAGGACGCAGACTTTGTGCCAGAGGTTGAATAAGACACTAATGTCAGTGAAGGTGTTTTCCCCAATTCTTAGTGTTGGGGATTACAAAGAAGTCGGTTTTGAGGCCTAGGTTTTTAGAAGTCCTAAATTAGATTAGATAAAAAAGAAACTTGACACAAATGTGAATGTTAGCAAACGAAAACATGATCCACACAAACTTGGAAAACTCTCTAATTCTAGCGTGCTAACAATTCTGTACGGCGAGTTACTGCTTCTGCTCAGCAACTATTATGAGCCGGACAAACTTGCCATGGTATGTGAATAGCATAAATATAACAAAGTTTCATGTCGTCATGACGCCCCTTTCACAGTTTGATTTTAATTATAAAATTTCCAGATCTCTGTTGTAAACATGTGGAGGGTGTTAAAGGATATAAGCTTTATTCTTTGGCTTATAAACACTGAGATACCAGAGTTTAGAGAGTAAAAGAATATATTGCTTCAAGTCAAATTAGGAGCTACTGCTTGCAGTTGACTTTAATGGCTGCTGTTTTCTTTGTCCTCCTTCCTTCCCTAAAGGTAAAATAAAGTTTGGTAGGATATGTTCACATTTGTTTAATTTCCACATGAAGCATATTTAACAGGACTTGATGCAGCCAAAGATTAAATTGCCAATAAATTACCTTGATTAGTAGGGCTGGAATAAAATAGACTATATAATCAAATCAGTGTTTCGATGATACACCAATTCATCAAGAAATTAAATTGATGTTTGTGTTACACAATAAAGGAAGAACCAAATTGATATCTAAAAGTCTTTGAAGGATCAATATGATGTCCCATGCATATAGACAATCAATTTGAACATTTGGCAGTAAAATACTCCTGGGACGAATGAAGTAGTTTTTTTTTTTTTTATTAAGTGGAAGGGAGCAACTTTTCAATGAAAGTAAGATGTCTTTCTTACTTAGTTCAAGATAGCATACTGTAGCCCTTGGAGATTAGTGGGTGTTCAATGATTTAAGAATATCCATTTTAATGGATCATTTTTGTGGACACTTCGTAGCAAATGGTCATTTTATTCTGTTTCAATGTCAATAAATACTTTGCAAACGAAGGGAGGTCAAGTATTTACACTTTATTTTATTGGTTTTATTTTAATTTTTCAGTTCCCTAGCAGAAGTGCTCGGCGGAAGAAATCTAAAAGGAGATGGCTGAGGGAACTAAAGTTAGAGAAGGAGAAGCAGGACAAGGTAACTTAGTTCTACAATGCTGCTGCAGATGTATTTACCTTTTATATTAGACAGGAACTTATGAACACGGTTGTTAAATAGTTTCTGTAGTTGTGCTATTTTGTTGTGCAATTCCTTGGGTTCGCAATCCCAACTCTGTTTGCTATTATGGCATAAGGATCAAGGAAAGACTCAATACCTTCATTGATGTTTGTTCATCTTTGGCGAGTCTCCATTCCGGCCAATTGAACTTTAGTTATGTATGCCAATTTTTATGCATCTTACACACACATCATATATTTCAACTGTTATGTGATTTCTGTTACTTGCCTGTGCACTATCCCTCTATATGATATGTAATGAATGCTGCCATTTTCCATGATCTGGATAACTCTGCTTGTTAATTCACTATCTCTATTTGATATTGTTGACTTGTTTAGTTGCAACATTTTTTAGTTAGTAAGATGCCTAGACCACATAGTATTGCAAGAGTTGAAATTATTCACCTGTTGTGTTGGAGGTTATTTGTCTAAGCTTACTATTTGCAAAATGTGTAATCATTCTTCCCGATGGAAATATTTTCTTCAAATTGTCAGCTCCATCAGACTCCAGTGCTTGAAAAAGACCGACAAGAATTACCTATCAGAGATAATAACTGTGTTGTTTCTGATGTACATCAACAATCTGATGAAGAAAGTGAAGAAGAGGATGAAATTGTTCCTGTAGAAATTAGGCCAGGCCACATTCGGTTTGAGCCCCTTAAAAAAGGTTTGAATGCAGATCTCATCTATAAAGATTTGCAAAGTAGAAGTTGTATGTTTGGGCTCTAGAATTAATTGATTTCAGGATCTGATATATGTTCAATGGTCTATTTAATGCAGATCATGATCAGGCAGCACCTCAGGATCAGTTTCCAGTGGTTGGTTTGATTTCCCTCTATGAAAGATTCACATTTTGAGCTGTGTTTTACTCAGTCATAGCCGATAAATAAGTGATATTGTTAATTTTTGCCGAGAAAAGGTGCACTTTGCATTATATTATTTGCATGTGAACGTATGTTTTATCTGGTATTTTAGACTTTAGTGCTTGATGGAGGATAAGGAATATTCTACTCGGAAGACTTGTGATTGGAGAGTACAAAATTTATGAACAACTTTCTCTTAGTTCCTTTTTTAGAGGTCTGATAGGTAACAGAGAGGTGGGAGGAAATTAACAAAATTCTTAAGATTATTTTTGAGTGATACTTTGAGAGAAATCACTTGAAATAGATAATAGGAAAATAAAAGATATTTTGAAAGCTTGAAACTTTTCTCTTGTGTTATCTTATTTATAAGAGATAAAGATACAGATTCTGAGATACAATAAATAGGGGGAAATGATTAAACCTAGAGAAGATAAACAAATATATTCTAGGAACTAGGTCAATAGTTAGATACAATTAATCTAATAAATACTCAATACTCCCCCTCAAGCTGGAGCATACAAATTGTATGTACCAAACTTGGAACAAATGAATTCCATTCGAGGCTCTCAAAGATTTTGTTAATACGTCTACAAGCTGATCATTGGAATCAACAAACTCAGTACAAATTTTTTAGACAACAACTTCTCCTGAACAAAGTGACAGTCAATCTCAATATGCTAAGTCCTCTCATGAAATACTGGGTTGTAAGCAATGTGGATAATAACTTGATTATCACAATACATCTTCATAGGTTGAATCTCACAGAAGTTCAATTCTTTCAATAAATGTTTTACTCATACAAATTCACAAGTGAGAGACGCCATTGTCCTATATTCAGCTTCTGCAGAGGATCGGGCAACAACTTTTTGCTTTTCCATGAAATGATATTACCTCCAAGGAAAACATAGTAGCTTGCAGTGGATCGCCTGTCCATAGGAGATCCAATCCAATCAACATCACAGTACCCAAAAATTTGGGTATTTCCCTTATCTTTATATAACAAACCTTGTCCTGGAGCTCTTTTAATGTATCTTAGGATTCGAATGATAGCATTCCAATGATCAACACAAGAGGCTTGCATAAATTGGCTAACAACACCAACTGCAAACGACAAATCAGGTCTAGTAATAGTCACATAGATAAGTTTTCCAACCAGTCTTCTATATCTTTCTGGGTCAGCTTCACCTTGTCTTTTCGTTAATTTTAAATTTGGATCCATTGGACTGTCCACAAGTTTGCAATCAATCATACCTATCTCTTTTATAATATCTAGAGCGTATTTCCTTTGAGAAATGACAACACCTTCTCTTGATTGAGTCACTTCAATACCTAAGAAATATTTTAGATTTCCAAGATCCTTGGTTTGAAAATGACTATATAAATGCTCTTTTAGCTGAGATATTCTAGCAGCATCATTCCCTGTGATGGTAATATCATCAACATACACAATTAAATAAACATGTTTGTCAGGGACAGTGTGACAATAAAACACTGAATGATCTGCTTTGCTTCGTTTTAACCCAAAAGCTTGAACAATGGAGTTGAATTTTCCAAACCAAGCACATTGAGGCTGTTTGAGGCCATAGAGAGATCGATGTAATTTACAAACTAAACCAGACTCCCCTTGAGCAACAAATCCAGGAGGTTGCTCCATGTAAACTTCTTCTTCTAAGTCACTATGCAAAAAAACATTTTTAATATCCAATTGATGAAGAGGCCAATGACGAATGACGGCCATGGCAAGGAACAGGCGGACAATGGTCATTTTGGCTATAGGAGAAAAATTATCACAATAATCAAGTCCATATATCTGAGTGTACCCGTTAACCACTAACCTGGCTTTGAGACGATCAACTTGACCATTAGGCCCAACTTTAATAGCATAGATCCAACGACAACCAACTGTTTTCTTCCCCGAAGGGAGAGGAACCAACTCCCATGTTTTGCTGTGATCAAGAGCCTGCATTTCAGAAATCATGGCTTATCGCTATCCAGGATGATCAAGTGCTTCTGTCACATTTTTAGGGATTGTAATAGAGGATACATATGAAATAAAAGAAAAATAGGAAGGAGACAACCTATGATAGCTAAGAAAATTGTAAAGGGGATGAGGATTACGAATAGAACGAGTACCTTTGCGAATAACAATGGGCTAATTGGAGTCATCGTTATCAGGAGCCGTGGTATTAGAAGATAATTGAGAAGGACTTGTTATGGGCGGCTCATCTTGGGGAATGAGATTGCTCACCTGGTTCCTGTGTTGATAGGTGATGAGAGGTTGTGATGATGATTTTGGAGTATTTTGGTTGAGATTTGGGGTGTCAGAAATAGGAGGGACAAATGACTTAACTAAGGGGATAGGAAGAACATGTTGGACAAAATCAATATTCTGCATAGAAGAAGGGAAGAAGATGGATGATTAAAAAAAAGTGATATTAGCATACATGTAACACCTCTTGGTTTTAGGAGAATAACATCGACATCCTTTTTGAAGACGAGAATATCCCAAAAAGACACATTTGATAGCTGAGAGTTTATCTAAGCCTGGAGACATATCATGAATAGAACAAATACATCCAAATACCCAGAAGAAATATGAAAGAGTGGCTCCTTTGAGAATAAAATAGAGTGTGAAACTTTATTGTCAATAAAAGAAGATGACATTCTATTAATGAGAAAACATGCAATTAGAATAACATCTCCTTAATGATGAATAAGCATATTGGCACCAAGTAATAAGATACGAGCAATTTCAACCAAATGTCTATTTTTCCGTTCTGCAATGCCATTTTGCTGTGGTGTGTGAGGACAATGGTGTGTGAGGACAAGTAAACTGGTGTAAAATGCCTTGAGAACTTAGGACGTTAGAGAAATAATTAGAAAAATATTCTTTGGCATTATCACTTCGTAAAACTTTGATTACATTTCCAAATTGAGTTTTGATTTCATTAAGGAAAGATTTAAAGATAGACAATTGTTCTGAGCGATCTTTCATTAGATAAACCCAAGTACATCTAGAAAACTCATCAATAAAAGTAACAAAATATCTAAAGTCAAAAGATGAAACACGACTAGGTCCTCAGATATCTGAATGAACAATACTAATAGCAGAATCACATCTAGATTTAGAATGATTTGGAAAAGATGACCTGGTATGTTTCCCTAGTTGACATGACTTACATTCAAAAGTTTGAAGGTTCTGAAGTTCAGGAACCATTTTTTTCAGTTTTGCCAAATGAGGATGCCCTAATCGCTCATTTAACAGTTTTAGGGATAAGGATGCAACACAAGATATAGATGAATTAGTCCCAAGGTAGAATAAGCCTCCAGAATCATGTCCTTCTCCAATTAGTCGACCTGTACCACGTTCTTGTATAACAAAATAATTGGCATTAAAGGTTATTGAGCAATTTAATGATTTGGTTAATTGGCTTACGGAAACAAGACTGAATGGAAAAGAAGGAACACAAAGAACATTTTGTAAGTTTAAAGAAGGAGAAATAGATACTTGACCAATCCCTTTAGAGACTACTTTAGATCCATTGGCTAAAGATATGAGTTGGGAGATTTTAGGAAATGATAGAGAGGAGAATAAAGAGGTATTACCAGACATGTGGTCAGAAGCACGTGAGTCGTTAATCCACAGACTTTGACTTTCTACAGATTGCGAAATGCAAGCGGTTGACGAATTTGGAGTTGTAGATGCTTGAGTCAGACTGGTTGATTTCATCCTTAAATATTCTTGATACTCTTCATTAAAGAACTTGGGTTCAACAACTTCAGATTTTGAAGTATTGGCTGTCTTATCAGGATAATCAAGCTGAGCAAAGCAATTTTCTTTAGTATGACCCATTCTTTTGCAAGGAGTGCATTGAGGACGTCCTCTACCACCATGTCCTTTACTGCCGTGATTATCTCTTCCACGAGCAGAAATCATGGCGGAAGATTCAACAAGTTCTTGACTATTTTTACCTTTGATAGATGGAATACGAAGTAGTCTTGTGATCAAACTCTCCATAGAAGGAACTTCATGTCCAGTTAAAATTTGATCTCTAACATGATTAAATTTTTGGATTCATAGCCCTAAGAATCATAACCATATAGAATTTATCTAGCTTTGTCGTTTTCTGCTCTAATGAATCTGCCTCAAGGAATATTTTTAATTCTTCAACTGTTGATTGAGCTTCAGCATCAAAGGACATCATATTGTTATCCTCTTACTTAAGGGAAACTAGTCTATTAGCAGAATCATAGAGCTATTGAATATCATTAACAAAGATATTTTGGGTCTTTTTCCAGAAGGAATTACATGTCTAGAAGGAACGAAGAGTGCTCAAAATATTTGGTTCAACTGATTGTCATAATAGAGCACAAAGTTGATAATCAAGTTTCTTCCATTGAGAAGCCTGATCTGCTGGTTTTGTACTTTCATCGTCTTCTAGATGATCATGAACCCCTTGTTCTAGAAACCAGAGTTCAACAGAGGAGGCGCAAAACAAATATTTTTTCTATTTAATTTTTCTGTTGTTATAGTAGGAGTCCCAGAAAAAGATACAGATGTTGCAGGTCCTAACATTTTTATTCAGGACCCAAAAGAGGACTCTTAAGGAAAAATATCTAGTAGGATGTTTGGAGAGAGAAAACCGAGAGCAATGAGAGAGTACCAAGAAACAATATTGTTTTGCTTGAACATAGAACAACTATCGTTCTATGAACATAAAACAAATGGTAGATCCGGCTCCAGGATGACGAGGTGAGCCAGATGGCGGTGGTCTGGAGCGAAACGGACACCGGGAAGGTGGTGCATGAACCACACGTGCGGAGGAAGCAGCGGACGAAGGTGGCGCGCCTAATAGAGATGGTTGAAGCGACAACTGAGGTTGAGTTGCGCTCCTCGAGGCAATCCTAACCCAAGAACAATGAGTGAAACGGCGTTGGGGGACGACAGCATCGACAACGGTGGACGATGGAGAAAAAGGAGAGACAGGTAGAGCGGGACGAACCTGCTCTGATACCAACTTGAAATAGATAATAGGAAAATAAAATATATTTTTGAGAACTTGAAACTTTTCTCTTGTGTTCTCTTATTTATAGGAGATAAAGATACAAATTTTAAGATATAATAAATAGGGAGAAATGATTAGTCTTGATAAGATAAACAGATGTATGTCAGGAACTAGGTCAATTGTTAGATACAACTAATCTAATAAATACTCAACAAAATCAATTTGACTTGTTATAAATTTTATAGCATTTAACAGATCATGTAATGTAATCCATATATTGGCTCTCACTAGAAGGGTAAGAATAGCTCCCAGTTCTAGAACTTACTATGTGGATTAATTACTCAAAATATTGGTGCACAATTGTAATTCCATGTCCGTTTTGTATTATTGTCAAAACCATACACAAATAAGAGATTCATCTTCTTGGTATTTTAATATCAGGAGATATGCAATTATTTTTGCCACGATAATTCAATTGATTTGTAAGTATTATCTGGATGTTTTAGGAAACATTTTTGTGGAATGGAATCACTAACAAGAAGAAGGGCCAGAAATGGGGTAAAGAGACAATGTCATTCTGTAAACAGGATGGCTACGTACATTCCAGTCAAGAGTGTCCTACAGTTCAAAATATTGAAAAGGAACCCACGTTCAATGCAGTAGATTTCGATAAGCTTCAAGCATATACAGGCCTGCCTAAGGTTTTTTTATCCTCCTTCCCCTAACTAATGTGTACTTATAGCATTTCTCATTCTGCTAAGAACAGTTGACAAGTAACCCATGGCTGTGAATTAGATATCCTTTCTTCTGTGTGTGGTTAACTATTCAATTTATCTGTGTTCTGTGGAATCTGTAAATTAAGTTGCATGGTACACTTTTGGTGCTTTCTAATAACTTAATCATACACTGCAGGAGGGTGACGTAGTAGCTTATCGATTGATTGAGTTATCAGCATCTTTCACTCCTGAACTTTCCTCCTTTAGGGTACATATATCAGTTTGCTTTTGAATTACATTACAAAAAACATTGGGTCAGAAGGTTAATTCAATATGCATTTCAATTATGCCCTTGCAGGTTGGGAAAATATCTCAGTATGATGCTAAATCAAACAGGATTTGGCTGGAACTGGTTTTAGAATATCCATTTGACTTTAAGAAAGAAAAAGAAGATGCATCTTCTTTTGAGCTGTCTGATACATCCCCTTATCGGGAGGATGGTTCTTTAGAGGTAAAGTTTCTTCATTTTATTTTTTTTCCCAATTATTTCATTTTAGTGTTGTAACTTATATGATAGGGAAAGTCTGTATGTCCACCATGGTAAATAATGTACCAGAGGTGCATATGGTTTATTTAAATCCATTGAATTGATAAAACGTATGTTTGTATAAAACAATCAATCTCCACACATCTTGTGTCGGTGCATGTGTAAGTTTTTTTATCAGACTCTATATCATGAAGAGGCGATAGAACCTTATTTGAAATTGAATGTCTAAAAATTTGTATTTCCAATAAAACTATATGCTGCCTACTTATTTGCTTGAAAATGACTGTTTTCCTTGTACAGATAGATTATGCATCGCTTGTTGATGTTCGAATGGTTAAGCATGGTCTACTTGGTTCGAAAACTGTGGTTGTTTCTAGTGAAGCGTTGATCAATCCAACAAAATCAACTAATGGTAGCACTGCTGAAAAACTTGCGGGTGATTCCATGGGATGTTGCCAGCCAGAAAAGGAAGGTCAAATCCGTGATAAAGGTAATTGACAATAACGATTCTTGGAGTGTATGGTGTATAGAAACATGAAAACATTTTGATGAGCCGAACATGTGGATTTCTTTACAGAAAATGGGGAAGTAAACTTGTGGGAAGAAATTAACAAGGAATTAGAAGCAAAAAAGGCCAAGCTGTCGCAGGATGATGGCTGGAACAGGGGAGAGAGCTCAAGCACGCGGTCATGGTCTCATAGAGCCATGAGATGCAGTGCGTTGGGTCCCACAATGGAGTTTTTAAGGTCCAACAATGGACTTTAAGAAACAAGCCGTCCCACAATGTTACCTTTTTGCTGAATTTGGTATATACTCGAAGAAATTGCTGAAACCATCTTTTTGGTAATATATATGAACAAATTAGCGAAACTATCATCAGCTATGCTGGCTGCATGTCCTGATTTCAGTATATTATAGGCAAAACATTTGAAGGCTTATTCTTATAATCCGTCTTTCGGATGTTATTAGTTGCAGTCCTCCTGAAATCCAAGTAGAAAATATAATCAACTTCTAGGCATAGGATTGGTCACCGTCCCGAGTGCCAAACAAGAAAGTTATGATAATATATACAAAAGTTTATTTTCACACAAATTTCTGATAAAATTCTGAGTTGGTAAACCGTATTGTATGTAAACCATTAAAACTAACACAGCATTGAATCAATCATATAGGTTTTGAAACTTCGTTTTGTTTAATAATGAAAAGCAACAACTAATGACAGATGATGTATCATTGTACAACTCCGTAAGGTACTTCTACTAGCTTGTACACATCAATTTTATCACAAGTTCCTGACCTCCCCCTTCATCCAAAATATCAATGCCTTCATTCTGGACTGGTGGTCCAAATAAGCAGGGACGGGGAAAATCACTGAAGCCGTAAAAGTTAAGAAAGGTAGACTCCATATTTACTTAAGAACTTTAACAACTGTTACGTATTCAACTGCAATTATATGGCCTGGCATGCACGTAATCTATATTATTGAGCATGAACTGGGCGTGAGTGGAAATTTACATCCAAAACTTACACAAATCACGCTTATCTCACATCCCATTTTCTTTCTCCTGTATCTCAAGCTCAGCCATCATATTACATAACTCTGTACCATGATCCTCGTTGTCACTAATTTCACTCTTGGGTCCAACACATGAACTAATGATGTTGTCTTCTGAAATTAGCCATGTTCCCTTGTTTTCACGGTCAAATTGTTTGCAACTATCATCCTTCACCACATTATAATCTAAGTCAGGCAAAGAGAAGGACAGTGATCTTACCAGGTTCTTGGGGATGTGAGAGGATTCGGTGGCTGAGGATAGCAACATCAGAGGTGGTGGATGACTCCCTCTGCGCTCTGCAATAGAAAGGGAAGAACCTTTCAAGGGCAAATTAGAGTTTGCCCCTTCGAATGTGTAATTAGCTGAAACTGCCTCTGAGGGTGATGAGACAGCTTCTTTGTGAAGTAAAGAGGAACCTTCTGAGAAAGATGCATCTTTAACAAAAAGGGGTTCAGCTGATTCAAGGCCAGATGGTGATGGCTGCCGAGAAGACACAAAGGATAAGTCTGACCAGTTGGTAGAGGAAGGTGAAAAAGTAAATGAGCTGGCGTAATCGGAACTTGAAGGTGAAAGTGTTGGAGACTTGGAATTGAATTTTGGGCTGCAGCTTATAAAACAAGGAAAAGGATTTGATGTGCCAGGAGGAGACAATGGCAATGATGAAGCAACACCATGAACAGAGATCGCCATTGCTTCATGACTACCTCTTTCCCTACCTAAGCTGTCATTTGGATAGCATTCAAAGGAATCTGGTGAGCCACAGGGATGAATAGATGATGGTGACAAAGGCTCTTCTGCAGCATCTTGTTTTTCAGCTTCCACCATTACACTGGATTGATCATTGCATGGGGTTGAATCAGCTTCACTATTCAATCTGGGGGATGTGAGTAATCCACTAGCAAACTGCCGCCTAAGTCTTGCCCAACCATGTTCTCTAGCAGGAAGACGAGTTTCTGATCCCGGATCAGACAAAGAAAAAGGTGGAACAACCCCACCCGCAAGTGCCTTGTGAAAAAGCTCAAAATCCAAATCATATGCATCGACTTTTCTTGGACCATTACCCAAATCATTGGGGTCAGCACTCTCCATGCCTTCAGAGGGCAACATTGGTTCATCCTCCATGACCTCTCCTTTGTCAGAATCACCTAATAAGCGTTGCTCAGAATCACCTGATAAGCGTTGCTCATCAGAAAGAGCAATCCAAAACCCAGGTGGTTCTTCATCTTCATGGATGCTCAGAATTGGACCCTTTGCCTTCTCATAGCGGATCACCTGGAAGGCTGCACTCCTTGCATTGCATGACATCACTGAGTTACAATGTTTTCCATTCCAAACATATATAGCAGAAGGAATATGAATGATGAAGGCCCCACGAGAATCAAGTGCTCGAGCACCTGGCTGGTTTACCATCTTGGGGACCAGATGAAGAGGGTCATAGGGGGAGTGAGGAGCCATACGGTACATCCTGAGAATAGAATTTGGACTTGCAGGCATAGCATGGACCCGTTTCTGGCACTGCAAAAGTTGACAGGCAAAACCCATGTTTGGGTTGGTCACTGCCCTTGCGGTCTTCACAAACTGAAAAGCATCTTCAAAGCTCTGCCCCTCCCTCCACATAATATATGCAATTACCAAAGTCGTTGATCGAGAAACCCCCTGACAGCAATGAACAAGGACACGCCCACCTTGCTCTCGAACGTCCTCAAAGTAATCAAACACATCATAGAGAATACTTGTGATGTCCTCCGTGGGACTATCCTGCAACCAAAGTGTCTTGTAGACAAAGTCACCTTTGAAATATTCAGGACAAACAAACCCAACACAATTGAGCACATGAGTGATTCCATTCTGCCTGAGGAGTTCATGGTTCTTGGCCACTGTGTCACTCCCCAAGTATATGTGCTCAGCAATTCTGGAACACTCCTTGTCAAAGAAGGCCAATTTGTCCCTCTTGAAAAGAAAATCCTTGGTGGGTTGACTTGAATCGTAGGTTCTTACGGAGCCTCTTGGAGTCTGAGGAAGTGGCCAAACTCCAAGATCATCAGATCCAGCACTAGGCCATTCCTCAACGCTGCGCTTGTTGATTGAAAGAGGCTGAAGGGGTGGCAATAGTGGTCTTGGTTTGCTATTTGTCGGTGGCTTTCGGCTATTTGGAGACCTATCAGTCCATGAAACCGAACGAGAATAAATTTTCCATGCAACACCGCTACCGGCGGTGGCTTTGTCCTTTCCCTCTTCCCCTAACATGTTGCCAAAAAAAGTGTACGCTATAGGATGAAAAAGACAGAAACTTGATCCGCACCCATTAACGCATTGTTACTCACTCTTGAGTACAGAGGGGAAAATAGAAAAAGGGGAGCGTGGTAAATGGGGAGGTATTTGCAGTTTCGAGTCTACCCCTTGGGTTCCATATTCCCACCTAAAACACTTGACCCTGTCTAAGCCTCTGACTCTTTCTTTGGTACATACACATATGCATGTTGATAAAAGTGAAGGGAGAAGGAAAATTCAAAGACGAATAAGCCAATAGACAACACAGTAAAAGGTGGTTACAGAAAGAGTGTGGCCGATCTCACCGTCCAGCAGGGAAGAGAAAACAGGTTCAGGATCATGTTCCTATGCAATCACCACAACACAACCTTGTTCGTAAGAAGATAACAGAACATGACAGAGAACCAAGAGTGTTCTTGTGTTGAATTCGGCTCAATAGTTTGTAGTTTAAGTTAGTTGGACTTGGACCCCTCGATCGAAACCATCGAAGCAGGCCAAGTAGCTTGCCACCTAAGACTGAATTCCTCACTATCATGAGTCATGGTCTTACAGTTGGACCACGAGGGAACGAGTCAAAGAACCACGTCACGATAAACACTTTTTTTTATTCCTTTCTTTCCTTGGCAAGAGCATGCTGGTTCTTTTACCCTTCGGTGTTTACGGTTAGTCAATTATGCAGTTGAGTTTTATTAAGCCCAAACATTTAAATACGAGGCAATCTCATGTTACACACAATTTTTATAGGGAAAGAACGTTGTAGTACCTACTTATAATTATAACATTGATATCACAAAGATTTCATGTCATAAAATTAAAATGGCTAATCGTTGGCCGTGTAGATGAATTGATGAAAGTTTATTTTTCAGTTTAGTAAGAGATTTCAAATTCAAATACGTGAATACGAATATGAGTTTAGACATAATTTAATTTTACAAAACGACGAGGATTGCTTTTATTTATGTAATATATACTTTGACATTATGTCTAATTACAGTGGGGTTTTAATTTTTTTTACTAGTACTTTTCAATAATTATTCTTTCTAGTGCCAGTAGTGGTTAATAAAAAATAAAAAAAACCGTGACAAATAAAAAAAAAAATTATAGTGAGTATTTTACTTTTGTTTCTCACAAAGGGATTTATAATGAGTAGATTAGAAACAATGTAGGGTAGAACAAAAAATTATCTGTATCTTACAAGGCAAATGACTAAAATACACGAGATGCTCTTTCTGAGCTCTAACGCTGTCGATAAGTTATGAGCCACCGTTCTAAACTCTTTAGTCTCTAAATCTGCTGAGTTTAGTCTGTAAAACTGCACATTTTGGTCAAAGGGTTCCAGTCTCAGCCAAGTAGCAACTCTCTCCACTTCTTACAGTCATCTTGTATGATCCAAAAGGATATGTACTGAAACTAAGGTTTCAACATAAAATCAATTGGTAATATGTGGAGTAGTCTAACATGAATTTAAACCATACCAAATGACACGAGGTAGGTGATGTGAAACTTTCAACATACCCCCTCCAACGAAACCTGCCGGACCAGACAAAGGGTACTTTTACTCAACTAAAGGACAACTTTTGGTCTATGACAATAACCGGAAAAATGTAGGTTTTGACTCTGATACCATGTTAAGGTTCTAACATAAAACCAATTGATAATATGTGAAATAGCCTAACATGTATTTAAACCATACCAAATGATCAAAGAATTTAGAACTGAAATACACGTACATACTTTAGCAGTACCACAGGATTCAACAAGCTAGTTTTGAGTTGACTAAGCACATATATACCCTAATACTAGTACTACTAAGTCCTCTATCCTCTTTGTTTTTAGCATGAAGGAAAGAAAGTAGATAGCATATTGTATCTTAATGCACACATAGCCGCATTGCACAATTCAATCTTTTTAATGAGTCCAGCATTGGTTGCCAAACCATACACACAAACACAATGATATAAAAATACATATTAAAGGAAGTTTCTGGTATGGTCAAAGGAAGGGGGTTGCATGTGAGATGTGAGTGGTTGAACGTAAGAAATATATTGTAGAAGATGGAAATTGGCAAGTTATTGCAGAATAGTATATGAAAAGGAAGAAAAATAGAAAAGGGTCAAAAAAGGGTGGCGATGGAAGGAGAAGCCAATTGCTTGAGTTTGTGGTCCTCATAGAAGAAGACCTGTCCAAAGTAGCCGCCTCAGAATTATCTTCATAAGCACGTCATTACATTACATGATCATCCATTATCATTGCTATTACATCCTTACAAATTATCCAACCACCCCACCTTTGTCCACTCCCAACTTTACCTCTCTCTCTCTCTCTCTCTCTCTCTCTAAACGCCATTAAAAACTCTCCAAGCTTTGATCAAGATGGGTCATGGAAGAGGATAGAAACAAACAAGAGTATAAATTGCATTGTTCAAATCAATTTTATAAGATTTTTTTATAGGTTTCCTTTTTTATACAAATATAGGTTTGGTTATATTTGTAGTACTCAAATTTAGGATGTATGTAATTTTGGTTCACCAAATTAAAAAAAAAGTATATATATATATATATAATCCTTTAAATTTTAGGAATACAGTTTGGTTTTTCAAATTTACAATTTAGGAACTAAAAAAATGATTTCTCAAATTTAATACTTAAAAAGTGAAAAAAAATATATTCTCAATTTGAGAAATTAAAAAAAAAATAAGGATAACATGAATATACTTATAAGATGTTTGAGCATTATAAAGTAGTGAGAATGTATAGATTAAGATAAGAGGAATTTAAATGATTTGCGGATTGTTTTAGAAATGACAAGACAGTATTCATTCTTAATTGTCAAGTTCCATATTAAAATTTAAATAGTAAAGTGATTTATGAATGACAAGTGTCTTCTCTCTTTAGTCCCATTTTTTCAGTCAATTAAATTATTATTAGGTTTTATTAAAAAAAATCATATATTACCTCTTGGCTATTAGTGTTCGCGCTTTTGAAAAATATAACATTTTTTTAAGCATTAGGTTTGGTAGTCGACACTGACAATTGGCAGGCCCAACTGAAGAAGAACCTTATGGAGCTTCATTTGGACCGGCTCATTTTGTGAATGGGATGCCAAAAACCTTGTTGAGAGCATTATTATTAGCACCCTCCAAATTGTTATTCAAATCACACAACTTTTCTGAAATTTGTTTTGAACTTAAATATCCCTTACTTTTTACTATAAACTTAAATAAATTTTTTTATTCATTATTTGATAATGTTTTATTAAAATATAAGAAAAAAATTATTTGATATCTAAATATCTATCAGTTGTTCATTTTGACAGAATTTTATCAAAATATATTTTAATTATATTATTTATCTTGATAAAATCTTATAATGATTATCCTATCAATATTATTTTTAGAATGTGTTGATAGAATCCTCAAAACAAAATTGAATTAAAAGAAATATGTTGAAAGATGAGCTAAAAATGTCTTAACAATATCTTTGACATGTAAATCTAGATTTTATGTGCAGTTAATCATAAAATTAAAGTAATATTTTTTACGTACAATATATATTTCAATATAAACGAGAGTAAATATAATATCATACTATACAAAATATATAAGCATTTAAAACATTTTTGTATTTTTAAAACATAGTTATTTGCTGAACTTTTTATCATTTGAGAATGGTTAATAACTTGTGAAGATTCTTTATTGTTATCTTATGGTGGTATCTTTTGAAGCTTACACAGTATTTTTCTTTTAATATTGTTCAATGGATTTTGCTAAACTACTATTAAATCCAAACAAATCTTTACCAAACTCGAAACCTAATCTGTGAGAAGAAGACAAAAAGAAAAAGAAGAAGAAGAGAAGATTACATGTCTATCATAATCTGAATCATTATCCACAAGTCTACGCATATGCTTGTGTAATTCATCTATTTCCTCGTTAAATTATACACTAAAGGTGCCTTAGTTTTAAAAAAATCATAAGCAGTTTTTATCTGTTAAGTTTACTAAGAATTATTTTTAAAATAATTAATTTTAACACAAAATTCAATTTATATATATATATATATATATTAACTATAATTTTATTATTTTTACAGGAAAAGAAATACGTCAACTAATATTCGATTTTTGAAAAATCGAATTCCAACTTTTTCTCCAGCCTTCAAATTTCGAAAAATTAAATTTAGTATTAGATATCGAATTTTTAACTACTATTAAGGATAATAATTAAATCTGTATTTATTCTCACTTCGAATTTAATGAAAAAAATCAAGTTAATTGAGAGTGGAGATAAGTCAAATTTTTTTGCTTTAAAAAGTCAAGAACAAAGATAGATAATGCAATCCTTATCCTGATCCCGTCCTCGTCACGACATTATATTTGAATTTAAATTTTAAAATATTAATATTTTAAAAGTTTTTTCTTTTCTTTTTTTATTATCTATAAAGTCATTTTTTATATATTTTACTATTTTTATTTTACCTACTTTTTAATTTTTTGCCCTTTTTTTAATCTTTTATATCAATTAGTTCATTATATTATTCTCTTTCTCTTACTTTTTCCTTTTTTACATTTTTTTAATCTCTTCTATCAATTTGTTTTTTTTTTCAATTTTTTCAATTAATTTGATGAACACAAAATTAATCTTTCTTATTATTTATTTTTTTCTAAATATTTTTCATAAATATAAGTAATAACTAATATTTTTGTTAGATATTGTTTAGATATTATTTGATATTGTTAAGATATTGGTAACCACAATATCAAACAATATCTTCTGTTTATTCTGTTACTTTCAGTTACTCTTTTAGTTGTATCTCTCTACTATAAATAGACCACCCTATGTGTGATTTATACACAAGGGAAATTAATTTCAAACCCTATTTTCTCTATATTCAACATGGTATCTAGAGCTTAAGGTTATCTTGAATTATTTTTTTTCCGCTTTTTGTCCACTGTTGGAGCCGCCCCACCGCTGCTGGTAAACTGATCCTCCACATCAAAAAAGAATTATCTTTGTCATTGAATTTTATTTGGCAGTGTGAAAGTGCATGTTTAGGAAAGTTCTGGCAAGGAAAGACTTGGTATTTAAGTGTGTCCATTAGTGACCCACCTCTCTTTCCTGGGAACTTACCTGGTGTACTAGTTCACGTTACTGTCACCGCTGCCGCTAGAGCAGTCACCGGGTCCGCCGCTGTCGGAGAATTCGCCGGAGTTTCATTTTTTTTACCCGTGACATATGATTTTGCTTGTCTCGGTTAGGTGATCATCGTGCCATTGAGATCACCACTATCGGAGTTGGGTTTGTTCTCCCGCTCTTCATGACTTCTTCCACTATTTCCAATTTTGTTAACGATTCTTTTGTGTTGACATCCCATCGTGATGACCGGGCTCGCCCTCGCAAACAGGAAAAAGGGCGTCCTAAGTGTGAACATTGTGGCAAGCTAGGTCACAAGATTAACAAGTGTTATACATTACATGGTCGTCCTCCTCAGTCTGCTGTAGTTGTTCAGACAAATCTTTCCCCACCTTTATTTGCAGGGGATCTTCCTTCTTCTGTTGCATCCAACATGTCTGCTATGTTCAACAAATTTCTCGAATGGTATAAGGATCAACAGTCTTCTAGTTCCACTATATCTGTCACACATACAAATACATATTTTGCTGGTCTGACCCAATCATTTTCTCCTGGTCCTTGGGTTTTTGATTCAGGAGCCACTGATGGTAACAAATCTTTGTTCTCCTCTTTATCCTCTCCTAATCATTTACCTTTTGTTACACTGGCTGATGGCTCTAGAGTATTATCTTATGGTGTTGGAACGGTTAAACTTTTTCCTTCTTTAACCATTGATAATGTTATTTATGTCCCTGGGTCTCCTTTTAACCTGTTGTCCATCAGTCGTCTAACTCGTTCTCTTGATTGTGTTGTTACTTTTACCAACAATTCAGTGTGTTTACAGGACCGGAGTTCGAAACAGGTGATTGACACATGATATGAGTCTCATGGTCTTTATTATCTCCGTCCCTCTACACATGTTAGTACAGTTATGGAGTCTCCCTCTCTTCTTCATGCTCGGTTAGGTCATCCAAGTCTTGGCAAGTTACGAAACTTGTCCCCGCCTTGTCCAACTTATCTAGTTTGGCGTGTGAGTCATGTCAATTAGGCAAGCATAGTCGTACTTCCTTTCCTTGTAGTTTCACACGTGGTGCTTCGTCCCCTTTGCCGTGGTTCACTCGACATTTGGGGACCTAGCCGCGTTAAGTCTACTTTAGGTTTTCAATACTTTGTTACTTTCATTGATGATTATTCCGGATGCACTTGGTTATTTTTGATGAAAAATCGTTCGAATTATTTCATATCTTTCAAACTTTTTTTAATGAAATTCAAACTCGGTTCGGTGTTTCTATTAGAGTTTTGCGTAGTGATAATGGCCGTGAATATCTTTCTCATTCTTTTAAACAATTCATGGCTTCTCACGGTATTTTGCATCAAACTTATTGTGCTTATACACCTCAACAAAATGGTGTAGCTGAACGTAAAAATAAACATTTTATTGAAACAACTCGCACACTTTTAATTCATGGAGATGTTCCTCAACATTTTTGGGGTGATGCTCTTCTTACTGCATGTTATCTCATTAATTGCATGCCTTCTTCGGTTTTAGATAATAAAATACCTCATTCCATTTTATTCCCTCATGAACCACTTCATCCTTTACCTCTAAAAAGTTTTCGGGTCTACATGTTTTGTTCATAATTTCAGTTCTGGTCTGGACAAACTTTCTCCTAGATCACATAAATGTGTTTTCTTAGGGTTTACAAGATCACAAAAAGGATACAAATGTTTTTCTCCTTCTCTTAACCGTTATTTTGTGTCAAAAGATGCCACCTTTGATGAGTTGTCTCTTTATTTTAAAAGTCAAACTTCACCTCTGTCTCCATCCAATCTTGTCAACACTCCTAATACATTTAATGTTCATGTTGTTTGTGACCCTCTAACCGTGTCTTCTTCACCATTAGTTCCTCGCTCACGCATCGCCTTCTTCTCCATCGCCTCTTCGATTTATAGTTCTCAAAACCAATCACAACCACCACCATGTGACTCTACTCAAGTACCAACTACTCTGTCTCCTCCGGATCGACACATGAGTCCGACCTTCCCATTGCCCTCCGAAAAGGAATTCGTTCTACACGTAATCCCTCTCCCCATTATATTGCTTTGAGTTATCATCGATTGTCATTACCTTTTTATACATGTCTTTCCTCTCTTTCTTCTCGTGACCATTCCAAAACCGTCCGTGAAGCTTTAGCCCATCCCGGTTGGCGTCAGGCCATGTTAGATGAACTAAGTGCTCTTCATAATAGTGGAACTTGGGATTTGGTCTCGTTACCGTCTGAGAAATCTGTTGTTGGTTGCAGATGGGTATTTGCTATCAAAGTTGGACCTGATGGTACTATTGATCACCTCAAAGCACGTCTTGTGGCCAAAGGTTATACTCAAATTTTTGGGTTAGATTATGGAGATACCTTTTCCCCTGTGGCAAAGATGACTTCTGTTCGTTTATTTATCGCCATGGCCGCTCTTCAACAATGACCTCTTTATCAACTAGATGTTAAAAATGCTTTCCTCAATGGTGATTTACAAGAAGAAATCTATATGGAGCAACCTCCTGGGTTTGTTGCTCAGGGGGAGTCTTCTGGGATGGTATGTCATCTTCGCAAATCCCTATATGGCCTAAAACAGTCTCCTAGGGCCTGGTTTGGAAAGTTTAGCAAGGTTGTTCAACAATTTGGTATGACTCGGTGTGAAGCAGATCACTCTGTCTTTTATCGACACTCGAGTGCTGGATGTGTTTACTTGATAATATATGTTGATGACATTGTTCTTACAGGTAGTGACAACCATGACATCTCTCAGTTGAAACAACATCTTTGTCACCATTTTCAGACCAAAGTTCTTGGCAAACTTAGATATTTTTTGGGTATTGAGGTGACACAGTCCAATGATGGTATTGTTATATCTCAGAGGAAGTATGCCATAGATATTTTGGAGGAAACTGGGTTGATGAGTTCAAAGTCTGTTGATACACCCATGGATCCCAATACTAAACTTCTACCAAATCAGGGGGATCCTATATCCGATCCTGAGCAAGTATAGAAGATTGGTTGGAAAATTAAATTATCTTACAGTTACTCGTCCCGACATTTCCTTTGCAGATCGGTGTGGTAAGTCAATTTCTTAATTCACCATGTGAAGATCATTGGAATGCGATCTTTCGTATCTTGAAGTATATTAAAGGATCTCCTGGAAAAGGATTGTTATATGGTTCTAATAACCATACAAGAGTTGTTTGCTACTCGGATGCCGATTAGGCGAGGATCTCCTTCGGATAGAAGATCTACATCCGGATATTGTGTCTCCATTGGTGGTAACTTGATCTCATGGAAAAGTAAGAAACAAAGTGTTGTGGCAAGATCCAGTGCGAAGCAGAATATAGAGCTATGGCCTCAGCTTCCCGTGAACTTGTTTGGCTCAAGCAATTGCTTAGAGAGTTACAATTTGGAGATGTCACTCAAATGACACTTGTGTGTGACAATCAGTCGCTTCTTCATATTAGTTATAATCCTGTCTTTCATGAGAGGACCAAACACATTGAGATTGACTGTCATTTTATTCGAGAAAAGATTATGTCTAGAGATATCAAGACCGAGTTTGTTAACTCAAGTGATCAGTTAGCAGATATTTTTACTAAATCTTTACGGGGTCCTAGAATTGATTATATTTGTAACAAGCTTGGCACATATGATTTGTATGCTCCGACTTGAGGGGAGTATTAAATATTGTTTAGATATTATTTGATATTGTTAAGATATTGTTAGATATTGGTAACCACAATATCAAACAATATCTTCTATTTATTCCGTTACTTTCGATTACTCTTTTAGTTGTATCTCTCTACTATAAATAGACCACCCTATGTGTGATTTATACACAAGGGAAATTAATTCCAAACCCTATTTTCTCTATATTCAACAATTTTTATAAAAAAATAATTAAATAATTTTTATATACATATTTTAATATAAATATAATAAATTAAAATATATATTTAATTAATAATAATGATAAATTATAAATATTTATTTATGTATAAAAAAATATATAAAATATATAAAATTAATTTATTATAAATATAATTAATTTTTTAAATAATATAAATAGGATAAAAGAACGAAAAAATTCAAATTCAAATTCCAATAAAAATAAAAACTTAATTTCTAAGTTCAGATAAAAAGTAAATACGGAACAATTAAACAAGTTGGGAAGGAGATCCAGGTCAAAACTCACCCCATAACCATGCTAACCAGTACAATCTATTTCTGTAATTAATTTTTGAACATTTTTTTTAGTTTATTCAAGAATATATATATATATATATATATATATATATATATATATATATATATATATATATATATCTGAAGACTTTTTTTTAAATGAATTTCAGTTTAGTTTATAAATAATTTATTTTTCATAAAATAGATCAAATTAAAGATTTTTTTTTCAAAAAAGCTTAAGATTAGTGTCTCTATCTCTCTCTTTTTTGTTTTTTTTAATGTGAAACAGTTCTCATACCAGGATGTTTCGGATCGTGTAAGAAGTTTACAATATTACACCTGTATTTACGAGGAAGATCCATGGAGAATAAAATCAATAAATATATATTGCAATTTGGATTTTTCTATCCAATTAATTAACAAAGAACATTTCGTGTCAACTTGTGAAATGATTGAAAAGTATGATCATTGGTTGTTTGTCAACACGACGCAAACATTTAAATGTGAAACTTCCCATGAAACTTTATATCAACCTATTAAACCATTTAACATGTAGGAAATATTCAACCATCATTCATAAAACATTTTTATATTTCATCCGTATACACTCCATCTTTTATTTACATCACTTAACATGTTTATACGTGAGTTATATGTATTAAAAGGTGGATTATGCATAGATTAAATAGAAAAATGTATGATTATTTTCTCTTTTCTTGTGTATTTATATTATATATAGTTCTTGTAGGGTGAGGTGGTTCAGTTTTTAATAATTGTTAACATAGACTAATCTTAAAGAACTTGTTTGAAGTGGAAGAAAGGGGTGAACACGGTTGACTTGACCTTGCTAGATTCCTTGTCACAGCACTCTTCTTCTCTCTGTCATCATTGATTTGCAGTTCTGGTTGAAACTTGAAACAATGAATCCGGAGGTATATAAAAAAGTCTCACTGTCTTTCTTGGTCTGGTGTCGGTGTTTGTGACCTCGAAATTTCGTTCACCAATTTTGGGTTGAATTTTGCATACCCCTCAAGTTTTTTTCAGTTTCCCAGAAATTCTATTGTTTGCTCAGTTCAAAGTTGTGAGCTTTGTCCCTTATGGTTATTATAGTTTGATTCCCTCACCATGTTGTATATATACATGATGTGTGCGTTTTGGAGTTGCAGATAGAGACTTGGACAGTTTGGGTTGCTATTCTGAGCATCTTGGTCTTTGTTGTGAAGGAGTTTGTTATGGGGGGGAAGAGCTCAAAAGAAAGTGGTAGGAGATATGATTTTGGTGCTTCTTCATCTTCATGGGATAATAATAACTATGGTGGATACCACCCACAAGCACCGTACCCTTCTTATCAAACTCCTCAGCACCAGCATGCATCAGCATCAACTCCTTTTCATGATTATGCTCAGCCAAAAAGGAAGTTGGATAAAAAGTATTCAAGGATAACTGATAATTACCGTTCCTTGGATGAGGTGATTGGATCATTGCATGTAACAATGTTTTGTGATTTTCTTGTATCTTATCAGCAGTAATTCGATCTCCTTTCATTTTGCTTGTTGTCATTATCATTGGTTCTTTCCTTGTTTGGGGGTTACAACTTACAATATTGACTAAAGCTAAACAAATACACCCCCTGTTATGCCAATGTGAATTCAATTTAGTACACAGTTCAAAGGAAAAATTGAAACTAAGATAAAAGGAAGGGAAACCATCAAATTCATCTAATTGGCTAAAGGGAGATGTTTTGAATTGTTCTGCCTGAAATCAGAGTTCACTTTTCTGCCTCTTTTGCTATGAGAATGGAAATGTTTAGGTTCCTAAATAGTTTTAGTTTTTATTTTTTTATTATTAGTAGAAATTGAAACATATATGAGCTTTCAACAACTTACACACCCTGCTCAACTATGTTAGATCCCCTTGACAGCTCTCAAGTAGTTCTATAATGAATAATATTGACAACAATCTGGATTTAGTGTTATAGTAAAAATAAGATTTAAGGGTGGAGCCAACTGCTTAGATTCTTAAGACACTTTTTTTTTTCTCAACTTTCAGTATATCTGTTTAACATATGCAGAAATATAGATATATCAGACTAACTATTCTTGAAATTGATAGAAGTTTACTACGTAGAGAAAATACACAATATTTTTGTCCACTAATTAAGTAATGAATATAGGTTACTGCTGCACTTGCAAATGCTGGGCTGGAATCTTCTAATCTCATTGTTGGCATTGATTTCACAAAGAGCAATGAGTGGACAGGTGTTATCTCTTACTCACAATTTTATTCTTGAACATTCTGTGATGAGTTTATAATGATAAATAAATATAAATGTGACTTTGAAAATCAGGGAAGAGGTCATTCAATCGAAAAAGCTTGCATGACATTGGAAGTGGTCAAAACCCGTATGAGCAAGCAATTTCTATCATTGGGAAAACTTTATCTGCTTTTGATGAGGATAACTTGATTCCTTGTTTTGGATTTGGAGATGGTAATGTTTGACAGCAAGCTAACTACTTTTGCAATGAACTTGCTAGTGTTCAGATTATTGAAAACATGATTTGTGTTTCTCCTTTGTGCATTTTCTTTCAGCGTCTACACATGATCAAGATGTATTTAGTTTCTATTCGGAAGATAGGTTCTGCAATGGATTTGAGGAAGTTCTATCACGATACAGACAAATTATTCCTGACCTCAAACTTGCAGGTGTTGCATTTACATATTATCTTAGAAGTTTTTTAACTATGTTCATCATAACTCACTGCATTCATGTTACAGGACCCACTTCATTTGCCCCTATTATTGAAATGGCTATGACTATTGTTGAGAAAAGTGGTGGCCAATATCATGTCTTGCTAATAATTGCAGATGGACAGGTAACTCTCTAGTTCATATTCACACCGTTGAGCTGAATTTAAGTACTCTTCTGTATTATTCATCTTAAAATGCCTATCATAAATGAAGAAACTGCAATGCTGTAGTTGTAGTATTCAAGCATAGCTTCATTTGGTTTTGCTTGGAAATGCTAAGATCTATTGATATCACATGTTATAATTCGCCAATTCCAGAAGAAAACTATACGTGCTCTACTCTGTCAATACCTGGATAAATAATATTTGTCTGTTGTAGATATTCGTTGTTTCTTCTCTGTTCTGGGGCTTAAAGAACTGATACTCAATATGTTATCACAGGTGACTCGCAGCGTTGATACACAACGTGGAAACTTAAGTCCACAAGAGAAGAACACGATAGATGCAATAGTTAAAGCAAGGTAAACTTCTCGTTTTCTGACATGCTTGTTGTTATAATCTAAGTTTGAGACAAAGTTTCCCGTTAGATAAAAACGAGAAAGTAAAGCAACATGTAAGTAAGAAAAACCTAATGTTGAAGCCATAAGGTATTATCCATCAAAAATACCCAACATACAATTTTGCATTCTTAATATTGTTTCAAAATTGCAGTGAGTATCCGCTGTCAATAGTTTTGGTGGGAGTTGGAGATGGACCATGGGATATGATGAGGGAATTTGATGATAACATCCCTTCTCGGGCATTTGACAATTTTCAGGTTTGGTGTAATTCACTTTGCCTTAGTCCTATTTATATCTTCCTGTCATACTGAATGTGGTATTTTATATGGCTGGATGTAGTTTGTGAATTTTACTGGAATAATGACGAGGAATGTAGATTCAACCAGAAAAGAGACAGATTTTGCCCTTTCAGCTCTGATGGAGATACCTTCTCAGTATAAGGCAACCATAGAGCTTGGCATATTGGGGTACTAACTTAATTCATTTCATTACATGAAAACATGGTATCTGTTGCGTCGTATGTTGGGGTTTTCTGTTGTAATAGTAATAACCATAACTAAATTTGAAAATTACATGTCTTCATTGATAAAAATAGTGCACGGAGGGGACATTCACCAGATAGGGTTGCTCTACCCCCACCTCTTTATGGTAGGACTTCTTCCAGCATGAGCACAAAATCGACAAGGTCAAACAGTTTTCAGCAGAGGGCCCCTACATATACTAGCTATGATAGCAGTGTTCACACAGAGGCATCTGCAAGTTCTTTATATGATAATAAGGTATCAATTCCATGCCAAACGTCTTTCCTATTAAACTAAATGATTAATTTTCAATTCTTTATCATTTTGGATAGTGGTTTACATAATAACATGACTTGCTTGACCGAAGGTTTGCCCGATTTGTCTTACCAATGCGAAGGATATGGCCTTTGGTTGTGGGCATCAGGTGACCAATTAAGTTACATGCTGCTGATTATTAATCTTGATTCTTGTATTTAAGGCTGTATGCAAATGACTAAACATATATTAAGTTTTTTCCTTCTCGAACGCATTTACTCTTGTTGCAGACTTGTTGTGAGTGTGGAGAAGACCTGCAATTCTGTCCCATTTGCCGGAGCACAATCCACACCAGAATAAGGCTTTACTAGTTAGCTTTGGTGCAGAAGTGCTCTCAATGGAAATTTAGCTCCTTTACAGAATAAGATTAGTCATAAAAGTTTGATGAAGTTAGAAGGTTAGAACGTGAATGGTCAATCGATATTCGTAAGTCATGAATTTAACTAGATACATGTACAGGGCTGCTAAAGAATGTGCAGAGTTGGTGTGACTCTTTTCACGGATGGTTTTTTTGTCCTTATATTTGCAATTTTGGACGACACTTGTATGCCCAGTTAGGATCAACAAGAGTTGTTTACATGAAGGATTGGCCTTTTCCATTGGTGTGTAGTGAAGGCCTCGTGTATTTAAATAAAACTACTTGAATAAAAGTTGCCTGGATTGTTTGAAAGAGACATATAAATACTCAAGTTATTTTCGAGGAAATAAATTTAAACTCTGTTCATACAAATTATAATTCATAAATATTTACTGAAAAATATTAAGAACAGCTTTAGTATATCATCAAATCACACAAGTACTCACAACGTTAGTTCAAATAGTCTGTGAACAAATTCTTGCATATTAATATAAGTTATTTGTTTATCAGAGTAAAATACATGAAAGTTGCCTCAACTAGAGACTGTAAATGCCTGACCTTTTAAATGAAAACATTCGCCAGTCTCCCTAACCTATTTTCTACGGGAAAAAATGGCAATAAAATTTATCAATTTCAATAATTCAAATACACTTTTGATAACAAATTAGACTGCAAACTCCTTCCTTCTGGCTCTTGAAGGAACTTCTTATCTTCTATATAAGTCTGTATCTCCGTAATCGTCTTCGTCAATTCTGGTATATTCCGTGATTTCAAATCAACTAAAAAGTGCTCATACACTACGTTCAGCATCTTTAAGAATTGAGATTTATATCTTTTGAAGAGAGCAAATCCAGCCATCTGACAAAGTTGAATTTGTTAACCTTAACAGATCTATACGTAATATACATAATAAGCACCTCAAAATTCTGCATTACTTACTTGCAAGAATGCATTGAGCGAAACAGCTGTGTATTGATTTGCTGGAAGTGCATTCAAGAACCTTGCGAGCCACGCCCAACCTTCTTGCAAGCCGTGGAAATTTCGGACATTTGTAGTTTCAGTCTGTTGAAACAAACAACCATATAGTCAACTTCTCAGTGAAATTATCAGGTCAATGTAAATCTCTCAAAATTTGACATTCATGACGGACCTGAACCAGTGCACCATACACCTTCATGTATGATTCTAACCGCTTTAAATAATCTTCTGTACTCTCCATCTTCCCATCCTCTTCTCGATAACCAATACTTCTGAAGTATGCCTCTTTTGATTGAAAGGTGGACTAACCACAGCAAAATTAACAATACAGATTCAATCCCATTTTTTTAAAATTATATTTGAAGAATACGGGTGATCATTTATGAGAATAAATAAATACCCTCCATCCGTGATTGGTGTTACAAAATTTGAGCTGAGATATTTGAGGCAGGAAAGAATAAGTACAAGAAAGGATAACTTTGCAATCTAAGATATATATATATATATATATATATATATATATATATATATATATATATATATATATATATTTATATCTGACAAAGCAAAATTATCTTTTCTGCCTAAAGTAAATAATCATTCTTTATGCAATGTAATTGTTACGTCCGAAAAGTTGGATAGCTAATGTCTACACTGTAGCAGTTACAATAAAGCATAATCGTGTTGCTTATCTCATAGAATAATGGGCCTGACCTGCTATGAAGATAAATATGTTATCCAAAGGATCAATAAACCAATTTTATGTAGAAAAAGATTCCCCCTCCCCCAAAAATGATTTTAAAGACAGTTCCAAGTATACAAAATTCACTACTTCCGCAACAACACAACCATACCACAATCTCTACAACACTTAGGTACCTTCTTGTAAAGCAGGTGCTTTGGAACGGTATACAGGCAAGCCATGTGAAGCTCAGCCAGCAAAATATCCATAGTGTGTGGGATCTGCCTTGCAAATGATAAATAATTGAAATGAAATATCTACTTATTTAATATATATATTTAATATATATATATATATATATATATATATATTCATTCTATGCTTCCCTCGATGCTAGGGATTAAAGATGTTGTACCTGAGATGTAACAAGAACAATGACATAGGCACTTGCAAAGGGAGCATTGCCGGGGTTTTCACAGTATGCAGCAACCTGTAAAGTATGTTGTCAGTAGGCAACTAACTTTGTCTGCTAACAACCGTAGATGGGTAATCATATTCCACCATTTATCGCAAGATTTTGTTCCTCATTTGGAGAATTTTAAACCAAATTATAAGGATTTTAGCCACATTATTTGATCATCACTGATCATGGAGGTTGATAGAAAGGTTACAAAGCAAAGCAAGAGACTTACATGTGGTTTACATTAACTTGAAAAAGTTTATGATCAAGTGCCAAAAGAATGGTGTTCACGGGCTTACATCTACGGCTCTACAAAGGTTGCATGTTTACTTCTATGAAAGGGGAGACAGGGAGACCAAGAAGGACATTGAAGGAAGTTACGAGGAATATCATGGTAAATAATATCTCTAAAAATTAGGGGTCTTTAACTGAGCCAAATAACATCATGTAATCCATAGGCATGTACTCACCATCACCTAGCAGGATAAGGTTTTTGTTTTTTGTTGTACACTATCTTTCCTAATATCAATACTACTGGAAGTGATATCACGAAAAAAGGCATTAAAATATAATTTATTTTGTAAGGATTCTGTTAAGGTTCCAACATAAATCCAATTGGCAATATGTGAAGTAGTCTAACATGTATTTAAACCATACCAAATGACATGAGGTAGGCGATGTGGGACTTTCAACACACCCCCTCCAACGAAGCCTTCCGGACCAGGCAAAGGGTACTTTTGACCCAACTAAAGGGCAACTTTTGGCCCATGACAATAACCGGAAAAATATTAGGCTTTGGCTCTGATACCATGTTAAGGTTCCAACATAAAACCAATTGACAATATGTGAAGTAGCCTAACATGTATTTAAACCATACCAAATGACATGAGGTAGACGATGTGGGACTTTCAACATATTCAAAGCAAAAAGTTGGGTAATCATTAATTATAGGTAATATTTAACTTCACTTGATGGGAAGTTGATATCTATAACAAACAACTGAACCCAGTTTTAATAATAAGGTTAATTCTGTTTGTAGTCCTTGAAATTTAAGATAATTCTGATTTTGGTCTTCCAAATTAAAAAAAAAAAGCTTATTTTAGTTCCTTAAGATGAAAATAGATACTACAACTCATGTCTCTAAATACTAAATTTGAAAGATCAAATAGAGTTTTTTAAAACTGTTTTTAGTCCCCCTCAAATTCAGTGTTTAGGGACCAAAACCATATTGTATTAAATTTGAGGGACTAAAATAAGTTTTTCTAATTTAAGGGGCTAAAAAAGGATTTACCTTAAATTTTAAAGACTATAACCATAATTAAATCTAATATTAATCTATTGTTACTGCCGCGCTCTTTGTTCTAGTCAAATAAAGCAGAGAGAAAAAGTAACAGTCAATAATATGAAATTACCTTTTTAGCAAATATCTCAATGCTGATTGATTGTGGACATTGAGGATCATTCAAAAGTTTGATGAGTTCGCTGGCCTTTGACCTACAGAATGTTTAAAAGAGTAAACAGACATGTAATACCAATATCCTATTCAAGGATAGGGATTGCTTTTATTGGAAATAAAATCCTTGGGCAGAAGCTATTTCACACAAATATTCTTCCTACTTTTAGGCACAGGTTGAAACATTTATTCAACAGTTTTGCAAAAGAAACAGATAGAACATAAAATTCTGCCCCTTAAAAAGAATCAAAGGTACAAGAAACAATGATAAATTAATAAAAATGATTATGAATTAGCAGAATTAAATATTCACTTTACCTAACATTGTCTCTTACTCCCCTTATTTGCCTTATATTCCGGGAAATATGACCCTCATGGCGGGTGTAATCCTGTACGGATGTTGACACAAACAAGTCGCATAGTCAGAATCACGGTATACTAGTCAGTCAATAAAGTGAGATGGACAGAAGCAAATTTATTGTGCTGCAGAAATTTCAAGCCTCAGATACGAAGGTGCATACAAAAATCACTAAAAATATACTTTATTATGTAGAATAGTATTTAATTAAAAATATGATAACAAGAATTTAGTATTGCTTTAGCTTGTAGGATAGAAAACCTTTAGATAAACATCCCTTACATCTAATTTCAAAAATACCTTATTAGAACTTGATCTAATCAGTTGGTTTCTCTCACATAGCTCTTTCAATTTCTGCAGTCTCCCCTGTTCTAGCTTCAAAGCACTTGCTGCAGCTCGATACATATTACCTGAAGATTGTGGAAGTCAGTTGAATCCTCAGATGATAAAACATGTAAAAACTAAAATATATAGATGATAGATCTAAACATTCAAGCAAGAGGGATCCAGTTGGGAACAAGTATAAGTGCTGTCTCCCCCTGGCCCCCCTTCACTAATCAATCCAAAATTCCCATATCATATTTAGTTTCATTAAGTATTTATAAACCCAGCAGTTTTGATACAACAAAAGCAGCAATACAACAATAATGAGGTGGCTTTTGATTCACAAAAAAAAAAAAAAAGTAGTCATTGAAATGCATGTATATCTATATAGAAAATTAATAATGAGATCGTGTATAAGCCTATCTCTAGTGGTTCAAAGCATCAATATTTTTATTTTCCACAGCAAAGCTCAATCGAAGAACAAAGGAAACTTTTGCAATTAACAATGTGGAGACTGAAGATAAAATCAAAGATTGAAATGTCTTAAATCACACCATATTATGCAGGAAGCCTCACCAAACGATCTTGATAAGACAAGAAAAAAACTAATTTCTTTGGTATAGAAATATGGCAAGAAAAAGCAAATTCCCAACTAAGTGATAGATTGATGGTCTGAAAAAAAGGCAAAGCAATCTTCTATATTATATCAGATGTTGACAAACAGGAAAACAAGAAAATTAACAGTGGCATTGGATAGTTATATCATAAATGTGAAAGAAGGTCAAGAAAGAAACCAATATCATGTTCCTTGGTTTCAGCATTTGATAGGCTTGATGCGGTATCTGTTGGATGCCCAGTAGCTTGTTGGGTCCCTCCAGAAGTAACCCTTTTGGAAATTTCAGTAGCTTCCATTGCTGCTCTTTTTTCAGCTTCTGTTGCTGCTGCTCTTTTTTCAGCTTCCATTGCTGCCAGTTTTCTAGCTTCCATTGCTGCTTTTCTCTCAGCTTCTCGTTTTGCTTCCTCAGCAGCTCTAAGTTTGGCCTGCACCCACAAAATTTGAAAATAATGAATGAAAGGGCATTTGGGCCAAAGTTTCTAATTTCTATATAAAAAATTAACAAGATAAAAGATTGTAAACAGGTGATAACAAACCTCATCAAGCATTTGCAGCTTCATGTCAAATACATGCATAAAATTTGAGAACTAACTAGCACAATCAACTAAAATATTAAGGTTATGGTACCTCTGCTTCAGCTTTAGCCTTTTCCTGCTGCTGCTTTTCAAAAGCAACCTTTCTCTTGGCCTCTTCATAAGCCGCATCACTTCTTATTTTCCTTTCTTCTATTTGTGATCTGAGTTCGCGATCCCGTTGAACAGCTGTCAAGTGATTATCAAGTGCTTCTGCGCTACAGAAAATTGGAGATGACGAACATCAGTTTCTTCTTTTTTCAAATAGTTCAAACAAGGCAATTATGTAGAAGAATAATAAAAACCAGAGAAAATGGATTTTTGGTGGGTGTGGGGTTACAATGCTAGTAGAAAAGATGCGATATATGTCATTTTTAGTTATTAAAAAATGAAATAAAATCAATATCATAGCACAATCAAGTTCAATTTCATTGAACTAAATAAGTTCCCAAGCTTTGAATTAATGTGCACTTTTTATGCTTTATCTTCCACCCACAAAATAGTTAATCTTATATCCTTTCATCAGTATTTTTCAAAGAGAAATGCAAGACACATTATGCCCCCTTCCAAACAAATAAAACAAGACACCGTCATACTATTGAGGCCAACAATTAATAATTATTGCTTGCATTAAAGTCTGACAAGACAGATATGAAGGAGAAAGAAAGAATCATAATGCCTAGAGAGGAAAGACGAGGGGTGGGGAGATAATGAAATCTTACATCCGACGCTGATATTGAGTGTCAAACTTTTTATCCAATTCCTGCCTTGTTTCTTTATATTTCTCAACTCGAAGAAGGGAAGAAGCAGAATTTTGAGTTTCATTCACTAAAGCAGTCTCCAATGCGGAAATCTTATTCCTAATTTCATCCTGTCAACCACAGAATAAAACAAACCCATGAGTTTAATTCGCAATTTATCACAAGTTATGTAGTGATCCACCATGACAAATTATTCAACTTTTAACCGACAAGTCAAACAGGTGACAACTGCATAGACATCAATCAACACCGTACCATACCTCACCTTAACCCTAAGCTGGTGTTCCTGCGTCAACTCAAACAAGGCACCTTCTACCTCTCCCAATTCATCCATCAAGTAGGTTCGCACTTCAAAACCAGAAACATTGTCTGAATCGTCATCACTGTCACTGAAACACCAAAGGAAATGCAAACATTAACCTCAAAACATCTTATACAAAGACAACCACAATTTTTCTAAAAATAAAAAAGATCCATCTTGACATTTGCATTATTAAACAGGCATAACATACGCACAGTTCCTTAGGTACTCTTGTATTGTTTTCTAATGAGAAATAGAGTCTGCCTCTGTAACCTGCATAATCCTTAATGTAAATCCTTATTATGCAAATTACCGAAGTAAAGGTCCAATTCTAACTGGAGAACTGAAGAAACTTCGCTTACAAAACTGTATCTAAGTTTTCCCCGTATTCAAATTATGTGAATAAATATAGGGTTCAAGAAATAATAACCTCAGATAAAGTTCATCACAAGTGAACCGTTTGGCACTGCCAGCTACTACCAATGCCTTGTCTACATGATCATCATCCTCGCTCTCTGAGTCCTCCATCTCATACTCATCGGCACGCAATACGAAAGCTCTACCTTTCTCGATTTCTCTCCCACTGCACACGCCTCAACCGTTAACACAGTTCCAATAGGCAACAACCAAAAGTTGAAAGAGAGAAAATAAGTACCAAGATCTTGTTTTTTCGAAAGGTGAAGAGCGTTCGGTGGAAGAAGTAGCATTGGCGAGCTTCGTCTCTAAAGCGTTGAGTTCCGAAACAAGATCGTCAAAGCTCCAATCAGGTTCGGGTTCAACGGAAACGCCATCCACTCTTTGCGAACAATTACAAAGATTCAATTTCACAGCTCCCCTGCAAATGCCATAGCAAATTGAAATTCATCTCTCTTGGATACGAATCAAAACCACCAAATTTGAAATTCCAAAATTACAATAAAGCAAAGAAAATCTACATTGTTCGCTACTTGAAACGACGGCGCGTTAAAATTCGGTGTTTAGAGGCGAAAGAGCGCCGAAGCAGAGGAACTCCGGCGACGGGACCTTCAATTCGAAAACCACAAAATGGGACCAACCCACGTTAACGACGTCGTTTTCAATTTTTGGGGACTCCCGTTCACCTGAGCTGACTTGAGTTGAGGCTTGGGAGTCTATTCAAGTAAATATGAATTAAAAATTACTCTCAACAATAATTTTTGACAATCGAATTAAATTTCTCCATAATAATAAATTTATAATATCTTCTGCATTAGTTTTTTTCTTTTTTTCAAGAATGTACTCAATTATGAAAAAAATTATTGGTTTAATAAATAGGTAAAAGTAGATTACTATCTTAAACTTTTTAATTGTTTACAGTGTCATGTTTTAATTAAGAGAATAAATATAACGAAAGAGATTAAATAGACTAATACAAATATTTGAAAACAATAAAAGTATTTTCCCTTAACTAAATTAGAAGAAAATTAGGTTATTAACTAAATTAACTACTATTTTTAATTTTAATTAATTGAATCTTATAAAAAATAATATATTAATGCAACGTACACGAAAAATTAACACTACGCCAATTTGTGAAATATAAAATTACCTATCTTAACCTATTTGTTTATTGTCCAGGTTAAACAAAATCAAAACATTCTTATAATTTAATTTTATTAAACTAGTAAGTACTTTATATTAACACCTAAAACTCGGAATAAATTCAATTAAAAAAAAATCATGATATACCGAATTAAATAGATCTTAAAAATATACCATCTATAAAAAACCTTATAATATATAGTATAATTCTTTATGTTTATATTCTTTTTCTCTTTTTTATATATTTATATTCTTTTATATTATTATGACAGGATATTTTTTTTAGACTTTTTCTTTTTTCTACTATCATCGTTTTAAAGTTTAATTTTGATTTTGATTTATAATTTGATAAATTTGTTTTATCATATCATATATTTATTCTTTTACATTGTTATTGAAAGAATTTGTTTTATTTTTATTTTTAATTTGATAAATTTTTTTACCATATATAATCAATTTTTTTAGCAAGAATAAATAATTTGTAAAGGTAAAATGGATTATAATGATGGAAATATTTTGAAAGGAAATAAATGGTTAATAATGAGCTTTGTGTAAAGTTTTATAATCCAAAATTTAGCATGTAATGAAGTAATTGCCTTTTGAGGAATGAGTAAAGTTTGTGTGTTGTGTTGTGAGAACATCAGAATCAATCTTTCCAAAAAGAAGAAGACAAAGCACTTTTACTTGGCTTATCACAAGAGAAAAGCATATGAAACAAACAAAAAAAAAAATAGGGCGTTTGTGAGAAAACAAAAATGGTATAATTAAAAGAAGTTATTGAAATACATTTTTTTATATAATTTTATATTTATTGATTATTTTATTAATAAAACCATCTTAATCATGACACTTAAAAGTTGTTTTGTTAACTTTAAACTAACTTTTTAACAGTAACATAATTTATTTTATTATGCAGTAACATGATTTCTTGCAAACTACTCAAAATCTGTTGTTTTTATTTATTGAAATTGTCAAATGGAAAAATCAATAATAAAGGAGAGAAAAATGGAGAAACAGAGGAGAAATGATAGAAAAATAATGAACAAATAGAGAAACATGTGTGTATGGAGAGAATCCAAAAAACATGGGTTTAGTTTAGGATTTTAGTTAATATTAATCGGTGTTAATGTTTGTTTGCTTTAACTTGATTACAACCAGTTTTATAATCTCACATTGTATTTGAAAAAAACTGTGGCCCCGGTGATGGATATGCAGTGTCAATTATCTGGTTCACATGCTAAGTAACACTAGTTACTTCACAAATTCGAGAAATGGTAATATAATACCAGAATAGATAAAGAGAAAGAGGAAAAGAAAAAGTAAAGAAGCATTTTCCTTTTGTAGAACATATTAAATTAGCATAAGCAAATTAAAAATACTTTAATCACAGATTAGAGACATATGTTTATGGTCCCCATTTAAGAATTAAACTAGTCCTTCGTCTGTCTGCTTTGCCCAGATGAAAAGAATATAAATATAGTAACAGGATTATCCTATGATAGATGAACCACGTAAATTCTGTAGTGTGGCATGCTAATGTGGTGCATTTCAACATTATTTCAACCTTGAGTTCCTTTTTCCTTTCTCAATTTCAAACATGCAACGTGATAATCTTATAAAGAAGCTCCTCCTTACACACGATCCAGATGGTCGTAGGTTGGATTCTGAGTCAATGCTTCTTGCTGTGGGCAACATTATGTTTCATGCTTCCACAATAATAGTAATTTTTACCCTCCTTGATACACCCTTCATGCTGTAACTATATATATACTCATGCAGTCTAAAATTATTGGTAACAAGGAATCATTAAACTGAGTGTGGCATAGAAACTTGTTACCTGTATTGAAGTTTTCAGATTATGATTTTTATTGGCTTGTTTCAGGTGACTTCTAATTTATATTCTGCTTCCTTTCAGAAGAATGATATAACTGAAATTGAAACGGTTGGTTGTAGTGAATCGGTAGGATTCATCCTCACAAAAATATGCAAGGTTCTTTTTCATGTTCCTTGATTTGACAATGCTAGTGCAAGCATTTACATTTTATACGTATGATTAACATACCTATTTTATTGGCAGATACTCTGCAAATGCTCTGGTGAAGATGATGTTAACTCAAGGGTCATAAATTTGTTTGATTTGATAGGGAAGTATAGCTGGGATGCAAAAGTAGTTATAGTGCTTGCTGCATTTGCTGTAAGATATGGTGAATTTTGGCAACTTATGCAGCTACATCGTGGTAACAATTTGGCAGCTTTAATTTCAAGTATCAAGCAGCTTCCCTGCAACTTAAAGCCACTGAAGTTACAAATCAAGGCATTGAGCTTTTTGGTTAAGACCATGATGGATGTGGCTATGTGTATAATTAAGTTTGAATACTTGCCCCTTCAACACGTAGAGCATGGAAATGAGATATTCATAGTCACAAAGTCTCAAATATACGAAGCTGCATACTGGATCGCCAGAAGCTGTTTAACATGCTTTTCTCAAGTCCAGGATTTCACAACCAAGCAACATGAGCAAGTGCATGTTTCTTCCCTTTGAGGCTCAGATCAATAATGTCAAACACTGAAACATGCATAATTCTTTTATTTATTTGAATAGTGTCTCAGACTAGATGATATATAGTTTGATATGCATGTAAGAATTGCCTGGGGATGATATTTTGATGTATTCTGCATTCACACATTTCAGGTACTCAGATTCAACAATAATTGCTGCATGGGAGCTTTCAAGTTTGGCGTATAGATTAAGTGGCATATGCTGCAGTCTCAGAAGACAGGTTGATATGTGTCACGAAGAAATAGGTTACTTTTCAGCTTCATAAAAATGATTATAATGAAAGGTTTATTAACAATTATGATTTATGCACTAACATCAGTGATTTATAATGTTTCAGAGAGAAACTTGTATCACAGGCTGTTGGATCTTGCTCGTGAGGAGCACATTGATAATCAGAACATCCTTACTTTATTTTTTCCTTCCAAGAATTACGTGCCATTGAAGGATTGCTCAACAGAAGTAAAGGTATAATGCTATGATTGTGCTGAGAAACATTTTGCCTATAAAGTTAAATTGTGATCATATAACTAAATAAAATACATTGATAGGATTTTTTTATGCACCCTTGTTTGTTTTCCGTAAGTATGATAGTAGCTATACTTTTAGATTTGTGAAAATATTTCTAAAGTTGCAACTTGCAAATATATTCTTTCTAGCCTAAGCAATCCTCTAATATTAATCCTCTGTTATTTACAGTTAGGTGTGTCTGAGATGAAAAATAAGATAGTTCTGTTGTTGATCACAAAACCACAGATACTCAGTCCAGTGGATATATTCTTACTAGTCCAGCAAACATGTGATCATCCTCTGAATGAGAGGCTGGGGAAGAGTTACATGATTGTGTGGATTCCCCTTCCATCTTCTGATTCATGGACTGAAGCTGAAGAAAGTAGTTTTAATTTTCTGTCAGATTCCTTGCCTTGGCATGCTGTTCGGAAACCGAGGTTACTTAACTCAGCAGTGGTCAAGTACATAAGGGAACGATGGAACTACAAGGATGAGCCCATCATGGTGGCTCTAGATTCAAAAGGGAAGGTCACCAATTACAATGCTCTTGATATGATCAACATTTGGGGAGCCAAAGCTTATCCTTTTTCAGCTTCGAAAGAGGAAGAACTGTGGCAAGACCAGAATTTGACAATGCAACTTTTGCTGGATGGCATCAATCCTCTCCTTGCTTATTGGGTAGGAGTCTGATTCATAGCATATTTTCATGAAGAATTTTGCAGTTTAATTTCGTATAACATTACTAGATTTTACATTATGTGTCAGGTTGAGCAAGGCAAAAGTATTTGCCTTTATGGGAGTGAAAACTTGGCTTGGATCCAACAATTCAATTATAAGATAACTGAGCTCAAACGAGCAGGTCTGGAGCTGGAAACAATATATGTTGGTAATAATCAATTAGGTGAACATGTTAAGCAAATAATGGCAAGAAGTGGTGAAACAAGTCTCAGTGATCCACTTTCCTTCACAAACGTCCAATTCTTTTGGCTTCGGTTGGAGAGTATGAGAAAGTCTAAACTCAGACTAGGGAAGACAACAAGTTGTGATCATGTACTAGCAGAGTTGTCAGCTTTGCTTGAAATGGATGACAGAGAGGAAGGTTGGGCAGTGATTGGAAGTGGGGGTTCAACTGATATTATTAGACTTCAAGGGATGCAAGTGACGGAATTCTTAAGGAACAATTCTGAGTGGAAAGAAAATATAACCAAGTTTGGATTGTCAGGTGCTCCAAGAAACTTCCTAGAAACTGATGTTGTTGCAGGGAGTTGCACTCACTCTTACTTTGTTCCCTCAAGAGAAAATGCAAGACTGAATCAAGAAACTGTAATTTGTCAATCGTGCAAGCGTCCCATGAAGAAGTTTGTGGTGTACCAGCCATGAATGAGACACATACGTGAATTGAGCTGTGTATTGTTGTGCATGACACGTATTCTATAGAAAGACATATAATGGCACAAAGCAAGAACACATCTAGGGGAGCGTAAGCAAACCGAGAGGAGTGGAGTGGAAGCAAAACCAATTTAATTTGATTTTTATTTGAATCGATTTTGTCTCTACTTTTATTATAGTTTAGTATTTTCATTTTTTTGTAGTATATATATATATATGTGTGTGTCATCATCCTAACGATAGAGACAAATTACACTTTCGAATTTTTCATGTATTTGTGTTTGATTTTCTGTTTGGTGAAGACAATCACCTATAAACAATGATACCTTTTTAAAGAATTAGTCTTCGGAATTCAAAATAAATACCCATTTGTTCCAAATGCAAACATAACCCTAGAACTATTCATTATTTTAAAGTACTCTTCTTTAATATATATATATATTTTGGATACAAAAACTGTTTATTATTTTAAATTTCAGAATGCTGTGTACATTGTTGATATAGTAGCATAGCAAATTGTTATCCAAGGTTTATATGCATATTTGTGCATATCACCTTAAGTTGAGTGACCATGTTGTAGCCTAGTCAAGGAGTAATAAGCCCCATTTGATCCAATTCTCAATAACTCTGAGTGCGACCCTTGTTCCACCACCTTCCCATTTTTAATAACAACTATAGAGTCAACACTTTGTATTGTTGACAAACGGTGAGCTATAACCACACATGTTCTTCCAACCATCATTTTCTCCAGTGCCTCCTGCACCAGATTCTCTGACACACTGTCTAGAGCACTTGTTGCCTCATCTAACAGAAGGATTGAAGGGTTCTTAAGTACTGCTCGAGCAATTGCTATCCTCTGCTTCTGCCCTCCTGATAGCTGCACTCCTCTTTCTCCACAGTAAGTATCATATCCATCTTTCATTGAACTACATCACATAAGTTGTGTTACTAGAGGCAACTATGTTTTCTACGTTCCTATCGCAAAAGAGAGGCAAAAAATAGTACATGAATTCACATAGACTTTTTAGAAATTGTCATGTGTGTTAAGTTCATTGATTTATACGCTTTCTCCCAATAACAATTCACTTACATTTGTTGACTTTTACTACAATGATCTTATATTTCATGCCAACAATGATACCTGATTGGTTGATAGTGTAAAAGTTTTAACACGGTCAAAGCATAGAAATTACATTTTTTTTAAAAGAGAAAGTGTACCTTATAAACTCATGTGCATTTGAAAGACGAGCTGC